GTTTGCATTCCCTACGTCTTATATAAGTGGAAACATACAACATGTATTTTATCTGGCTTTCCTTAGCATGATAAATAAGATTTATCCAAGTTGCTGAACCAGTAAACTGTGGAGAGTGGCCACAGCATGTGGACAGGTTCAAGCCCCGGACTAATGAGAGGGCATAGTCCTCTTGCAGCAAAACCATGTGCAAGTCCCAGATTGGAGGGCAAAGCCCTCCCAGCACAGTTATAGCCAAAGGCTATAGTTGTAAGCTTGACCTTATGATCCCAAGCTGTGGTCCCACGTGGCTGCCGGTGGTGCAGCAGGTAAACAGCTTGATCAGGTGCAACTAATTGAGTAGATTTAAAACCTGTGAGAACATTGTAACCACGCCCTTACTTTGCCTCCTGAAATCTGGCCATAAAATAAAGACTCCACTTTCAGGCTAAATGTCTAACAGAGAGGATAGTGTCCCACCCAGACCCAGCTTTATTCTCTTGTCTGTCTTTTCTCAATCCCTCATGCCACCTGATCCTTCTCAGGCTTATTGAACCTGTCTGAGCTAGCTTGGCACAGTTATCGAGAACAGGGATTGGTGTGTTTCCAAGATTGAGTTCTGCATCCAGGGTGCCAGAATTCCTGGTCCTGCTCCATGCCACACTTCTCCCACCAGAGAAAGCCCTCAGCAGGTTGCAGATTCTTTCAGCAAGAAGCTAGGGGTGAACAGTTCTGGTGAGTGTTGAAGGACAGCATCAAGTGTCTGCAACCCAACTGTAAATCCAGCTGTGACAGTCACACAGAGGAGAACATTACTTCAAGGGTCATTGAGTCTACAGTTTTAGTAAATTAATATAACTACAAATAGAGCCACTAAGAACTTCTAAATTTCAATCAGTAGTTTCATTATTGGTAGTAATGTTGGTATTTATCTTTTGAAATTATATAGCGTGGGTTAAAACTCATAACTAATGTTAATGTTAAAACAATTATTTTTAAAAGAATACATTCAAAAACAGTGAAAACCCTGTATGTAATTCTAAATTTGGTACAGAAATAAGTGTCAACTCATCCTTTTCTTTGATCTTTTAAAAAATACACATTTCCTAGCTCTGCCTTAGTAACAGTGGACACCCCAAGCACCTGGATTGTGACCTGCATATCATATTCCACTGAAAGAAACCAGGGCTCCTTGAAGAATTGCTGATTCCTGGAAGGGGGAGAGGGAGGCTGTTGCAACATGAGCCTAAATTGTTTTTTTTATTCAGAGAGCCAGGACACCATCAAAGATTGCTGGAACCATGTCAGAGGGCACCTGGGAACTAGCCAACAAGAATTATCACATCTGATTGAAACACTGAATATATTAAAAACAATGTATAGTAGTTTAAAAACAAAGAAAAACAGCCAAAACCAACCAAACAAAAGCATAAGTGGTCACTCTTGGAAGTAACTAGGGCACTAACTCCTCTAACACTGAAAATGGACAATTAAAGGAAAATAAACAATTAACCTACCTTTTCTCCACAAACAGCAATCCAGAATAACCTGGTTGATTAGGGAAAGTTCTTTACAGAGGATTTCCTGTAAATAAAAGGAATGACAGGATTTGAACATTGCCACTGCAATCCCTAATACAGTGGTTCTGGAACTGGAATGTGCATCAGATCACACTGAGGGGTCATTAGCCTCCACCCCAGAACTTCATTAGGTCCTGCATTTCTAACATGTCCAAGGATCACACTTTGAAAACCACCTTCACAGAATGATGTCCAACAAACATGAAGGAGATAATTGAGAGGAAATTAAAAATGGTGGAGTAACTAGATGCTACACAGACACACTCCCAGGACTAAACTGGAAAGGGTAACAATAAAAGGGCCAATTAGATTACAAAGAAATAACGGGTGATTTCCTTATGTCTGCCTGCTACTTCTAAACCAAAAACCTTCAAACTACTTTCATGAGTATTCTGACTCCAAGAAAATCACCAGCAAGCGGGTAAGTTTCTATGATACTCCACTAATTAAGGACCCAAGAAACAGTATTTCACACTGGAAATGTTTGTAAAATGTATTCACAGATTCTAAATGAACTCATCTGTGCTAGGGGTGATGACAAGCCAGAGAAGTGTGTGTGTGTGTGTGTGTGTGTGTGTATGTGTGTGTATATATATATATATATATATATATATATATATATATATATATATATATTACACATATAATAGAATATTGCCCATAGAGATGATGTGAATAATTTATAATTTGGATTAAAAGAAACAAAAAGTTTCTTTTTAAGACAGTAAAATATTCAGTAAAATTTTAAGACAGTAAAATATTCAGACTTGCACTTTCCATAGCAATAGCCATAGCCACATGCCTACTTATATTTAAGTTCATTAAAATTAAGTTCCCAAGCTACCTTGATCCATTTCAAGTGTCCAGTAGCTGCTATATTAGACAGCATTTACAAAACAATTCTATCATTGCAAAAAGTTCTGTCGATGTATACTGCTAATGTATACATTTGCTTGTATCTAAGAAAATAGCATATATTTGATAAATTGACTATTTCAGTAAGAAGCCTGACAAAAAGTGGTAGGGTATTCCTTTCCTCCTGAATTCTGACAAAGCAAGGGGAAGACTGGATGTAGTGGATTCTGTCCCCTAGAATTTCACACCAGAGGCTGTAAAAGGGAAAGAGGCTGAAAAAGAAAAGTTACCCCTTGTGCAAATTTCACAGTGTAGCTGATGAGAAAAGACTTAGGTAATCTGTGAAGATAAGATACATACAAAATTTGGTCATCCATTGGTTTAACATGTTTATAGAGAACTTACTGTATGCCAAAGACAGAACGAATACGAGGGGTGGAAAGTTAAGAATTCCAACATCCAGGTAAAACCGATGTTCAGAAAAATTCTAAGGATAATAAAAGAGGCGTTTCCCAATTAACTCAGAAATTAGACTAAAAGGAAAGACTGGCCTGAGATTTGATACATTGTGTGACAGCGTTAGTGTAGGGAAGAAAGAAGTGTTGTCTTTCAATTTGTTTCCTCCTTCATCCAGCCACACCATCTAAATGGAAAGCTTAGACCAGACCTGGTTAGTAGGGAACTGAATCCTGAGATAGGCAAGGAGATAGTGGCAAGAGCATCAATACTTTAAGTGATTGAGTCAGCAGGACTGGGGGCAGATGATCTGCCTCTTTCTATTGGCAGAAGGTGGTCTCTGTCGGTGACAGGACACTAGGCAACACCTCTCAGCAGTGGCAAAGGTCCATGTGAGGACTTTATGGCTTGGCTGTGCCGAGCAGTGCAGCACAGGTGTGCAATCCACATGTAGTGCTCAGACTTAGCCTCTAAGAGCCAGAGGTTCCTTACAGATCAGAGCTGTGGGGATGGGAGGAATTGGGGCTGCCTGGTTTGCAAGTGCATCAGGCTAGTCTGGTGAATATATATGGGGCAAGGGTGAGTTTTATAGAAACCTTTATTTCCTAGCACTGTCCTTTTTAAGAATCAGTCTTGCCACCATTGATTGAGGTAATGCAGGAAGAGAAGGCAGAATCAATTGCCTGTTTGACCTTTGGCCAGTCATGGTTTCCTCAATAAAATGTGGACCTTCGTACTACCAGGTGCTGATATGAGGATTACACAAAGTAACAAACACTAGGGTAGATTCTAGCTCATTGTAAGCATCCCGTAAGTGGTTCTTACCTCGAATGAATCGTTTCCCACCCGTAGAATGAAACAGAAGATAGAATGGGGCTCTTCTAAGCCCCTCAGATGGTGTTGGGTGTACCAATCCAGCCTGGAGATTCGGCCAAGGATTGGTGGAACCAGTGTTCCTGGAGAGAGGGAGGCAGGGCCCTCTGCAGCCGCCCAGTTTCTTGCTTTAGTTTCCTCGTGTATGCTGTACTGGAGCACTTACAAATTGGACTGGGAAGTCAAAGGTAGAACTATTCAACAAGTGATGTGAATATGAGAAAATGAAACCACTGAATTCACTGAATCAGAAAAAAAAAATCCACATTGTTGGAGAGGTTTAAGGATTAATAGATGAATGTCAAAGTCACAGAGCATCTTAATTTGTTTGTAGGACTTGAACACTCCAGCGTGTAGCCCTGTGTTAAGTGGGACGGAGGGTAACCGTTAGGAGGATGATCTGCAGCTGTGCCCAGAGTGCTGAATAATGGATTCCTGTCCACAGGGAGCAAAGTCTCAGGTGCCTCCGATAAAAGGTCATGTCCTTGGCTCCCGGTCCTTCTAAGCTCTGAGGATGAAACAAGTCAGCGATCCCTGAGTCAAAGAATTTAAAAACCTGCGAAGCTGGAAGTCTGTGAACGCTCTGGAACAAATTCAGAGTCCGGACCTGGGCGGGAGGGACCAGGCAGGCGGACAGAACGGAGACGCGAGTGCCCTTCCGCGGGGACCTCGCTAAAAGCGCTCTGAATCGGACCCCCGCCCAGTTGAGGTCGGTAGTCGGTCAGTTACCGGGAGAAGGGGACAAGCCTGCGGGAGCATGCGGGTTCCCGGGTACCCAGGCACTGGAGAGCCGCTGGTGAGGCCCGGGAAAAGCGCACAGTGACCTGACTTGAGGAAGCGGCCGGGGTCAGGGACTGGAAAACCCTGAGAAGCACAAGGGTATCCCACGCACGTTCTCCCCTCGACATCATACGTTTTCACGCCTTTTTTTTTTTTTTTTTTTTTTTGAGGGAGGGCAGGAATTAAACGGGCCCAAGGGGAGCCCCTTCCGCCCCTCGCGTGCGCTCTGCAAGGCTGACGCAAGCGGTACCCAGAGGCCGCTTGCACACAGGACCCGCTTGACTCCGGCGTTGCCCGGCAACGGAGCCGTATGGGGATTGGCTGCGTCAGGCTAGTGACCTTCCCGGAGATTCGCACTTCCTGTTGTCCCCGGAAGTGATGTAACTGCAGGCCACGCCCCCAGCAGAGGCGGAAGTGGAGCTACCCCGGGGCGTTCCGTGTAGTCTGACTCCCCAGTCTAGCTGCATACCTGGGCCCATGGCCGCCTACCCTTACCGCCCGGGCCCCGGGACCGGCCCAAGCCCCGGCCCACCCGTGGGCGCGGCGCTGCCGGACCAGAGCTTCCTGTGGAACGTCTTCCAGAGGTGAGATCGGGCGCACGGGCGCTTACGGGAGTCCGCCGGCTTCCCCTCCTCTTCCCGGCCTCCTGCCCCATCTTCTCCCCCCCACACCCCCCTTCCCTCGCCTTTCCCCACATTGCACTCGGGCCACCCCCGGCCTCTCCACAGTCTCCTGCCCCATTTTCCACCTTTTCCTCTTCCCGGTCCCTCCCCGGTCTCTTCTCCGCCTCCCCCAGCCTTCCCCTAACTTTTCCCGAGGCCTCCGCTCAGCTCACTCCCTCCTGTCCCACGCCCAGCGTCCCATTTGGTCTCAGGGCTTCTCCCTCGCCGCGGGCCCCTCCGCACCGGCCCGTTTCGAGGTGTGGCGCCTTCCGTAGATTCCCTGGAGCTCTCCCTTCACCCCTACCCCCTAACAGCCGTGCCCGCAGTTAGGGGCGGGTTCTTGCTCCTCCGGGAGAGTCTCCTGGTGATGCTACCTAGTTTTAGATAGACAGAAACAAGAGTCTGCTCCAGCACTATTAAAATGGCAGCAGTCAGGAAAGAAGCTGGAGCGTGATGGCCGCCGGGACAGGTGCTGTTTTACCTGGGCTCCTTCTGACCATGGCCGCCCTTCTGGTGAATGAATGGGGGGAAATTGAGTGACTCATGGTCAGGGAATGACTTGACTGAGAGAAAGGAAAAAAAGAGAAACTGGTGCAGGCATAACTCAGGTCAAGGAGGAATAGTCAAAGAGAAAGACCTGGGAAAGGAAAACAAGAGTGGAAAAAAATGATTAGGCCACTTTGGGAAGAACCAACGTGGACTTTAACAGGTGGAGGGCTTCGGCTGAGTGAAGGAGCTCCAGAGGCAGAACAAAGTGAAAGGAAGGAACATGCCAGAATTAATGTAGGATGGTCAGTGGGGTTAAACGTTTGTGCTTGCTATGATTTGCTTTTTATACACTGTTAATCACCAGCTGAATTGGTCTTGATTTTGTAGGGTTGATAAAGACAGAAGCGGGGTGATATCCGACAATGAGCTTCAGCAAGCACTCTCCAATGGTGAGTGGGACCTGGCCATCAGGACTTCTACACTGCAAGCCTGACACACCTAACCGTTATTACTGGCACGTGGTGGAGGTGCTTCTGATTTATTTTGCCAAGTGGTTTCTTGGTTGTTGTCAGTGCCACTCCAAATGCCTTTCAGAACAACTGTGTGGATGAGCATAAAGGAAACATTGATAGAGGAACTCGGTTGGAGGGTAGGTTTTTGGAAGGGAGAGGGATGGGAAGTTTAGCTTTGTACAGCAGATATATTTCAGGTGTTGGAAGATCATTGAATTTTTTAGGTATTCTTTGTGACCCTTCTGGAGGGGATTACAAAGGTCCCAGAGGCCACCGGACTGTGAGGAGGTGGTCTTGTCAGTGGCAGAATTATAGGCATTCAGATAGGGATGAGGGTTACAGCTCTTGTGGGTGGGGTGTTGCTGGCTCTCCATGGAGTTGAGTTCTTGCCCATTTCAACTTGATTAATTGGGGAAGTACTATTAGAGTTACACTAGCCAAGTAAAGACAGGGTTAATTAGAGAGCTATCCAGAGCACTGAAAACCAGTAGGCTACAGTCTGGCAAATCCTGGGTTAAAACTTCCTAAGTGTTGACCTAAATGGGAGATTTCTTCACATCATATGTTAATTGTGATCAGATGTTAAAGATGATGTCAGCCACAGTGAGAGTGCCCTACTGGCTAAGGCTTTTCTTTTGAGCTTTTTTGCAGTGAATGAGGACTGATTTGTGATCCATTAGGACTTCTTTTGTTCATTTGCTATAAGTTTTGAGAGTGCTGCCCAGGTTTGTATGAAATCTGTTTAGTTGAGAGTGATGGCCAAATACTCTGAATTGCTGGAAGTGGTGGGCTCTGTGGGGTCACGGGTCAAATTCTGATTGGATTCAAATCCTGCTTTACCAGTTCTAGGAATGTGGCCCTGAGCAAGGACTTGCTTAACCTTTCTGGATCTGTGTCCCGCAGTTACGGGCCGGTAAATTGAGAAAATGCATGCAGAACACGTGTGAGCCTGGCACCAAGCAAGGGCTCAGTATTGTGCTGGGATGAGGAATAGTGGTGTTACTGCCACTGTTACTGGCCAAAGAGCCAGCTCGAGTCTTTGATGGCTTTTCTTTTCCTAATGACAGTGATGAGATGGTAATCATCTACTGAGCATCTTACATGTGGGCAGAGTGCTGCTCAGCAGGGCTGCTGCTCACATTCCGTCTCAGGTTTACTGCTCAGTCAGGCCCTCACTGACCCTGGTGCTTCCCCACCTGTCTCTTCATGTAAGTGACCACCTAATGCTTCTAGTGCCCTGCAATGTCCATCTCAGCCTGGAGTCTGCTCCTTCTGTTTAGACTGCGTGCCTCTCCTCGCTGTAAGGTCCAGACAGCCTTCAAACCTCTTTTCCCCCCATCAGTGTGTGCCTCGGCCCCTCTGAACAGCATTTCTTTTTCTTTAGTGTGTTCCTTTCTCTCCTCCTATAAACATTTTGTCCTAAATGAGGGCCAGCGGGTTACTAGGTAGACAATGTTGGTTCTTTTCATTCCTCCTTGAGTTCCTGAGCTGATATAATAGAAGTTATTTTCAGTTCTGATTTTTTCTCCCAGGAATGGGCTTTTGTTTTCATATTAGAACTAGACTTTGGGCTATTTCAGAAAGTCATTTTAATTAGTTTATTGCTGGTGGGAAACTGAAGTTACAGAACAGCATAGCCTCTCACTTCAGGTAGACCTGTGGTTTGGCATGCTCCCTGTTAAAGTCGAGCTGAAACCACCTTGGAAAAGGGCTTTTGTGGGTCCTACACACTGAGTCCTTTGTACAAAGCCTCCAAAAATGACTGCTCTCAGGACGTGTGTGGTCAGTGGGTTTGAAAAGAGAGAGGACTGTTCTTGTGCCTTGGTTTTAAAATAACCTTTCACAAACTACCTTGACTTTTAGGTGTTTTTTAAAAATTTGCTCTAACTCCTTTTTTTGTGTGTGTTTCCTTTGAGGTTTGCTTTAACATAAGATATTGATGTTTTTTGAGGAGCCATTTTTAGCTATGCTTTAAAAAATAGTAATTCATGTTTTAAGGTATTTTTATCAAAGTAAAGTTCCAGCTAACTTGAGGACCCATATTTGAAGAAATGAGACCATCCAAGCAGATAGCCCCTACAGTTGCATACCTGTCCTGCCCCAGCCCAGTGTGGTGGGTGATGGGGCTTATTGCCCAGATGCAGCAGAGGGAGTGAGATTCGCCCCCGGCCCCATCTGCCTGCATGGGGGTGAGGGCTGACTCAGCAGGCTGGGTTACTCAGAGCCTACACGTTCCCAGGAAGGGTCTGTTGGATGATGGCTGCCTCTGGAATGTTCTGACTGATCAGTGTGCATTGCATCCATTTGCTTGGATACTTCACACTGAGAGTTTGAGGATGGCAAGCATCTGTCTTCTCTTGGCATCTGGAGCTTCCGTGATGGATCCCCAAGAGAAACTCTGCGCTCTCAGGCTCAGAAAAGCTTCCCTGGTGGACAGCGCTTTATGTGTGTCTCAGCTGTTGTCCTGTGTGAGTTCATGGGGGGCTCTGGAAGCAGTGTCTGGTCTCCCACAGACTGGTCCTAATGCCTTTCCTGGTCTTACAGTCTGTCCTTTTGCTCTAACAAACTGACCGTGAATGTTGTCGTCCTAGCTAGTTGTTGAACCTGAGAGAGGTCTGGGGACTCAGTACAGCCCATCACATCTGCTCTTCCTAGAAACCCACCAGAGTTTCAGATAGAGACAAAGAAGGTTGGACTTGGGCAGGTCACAGCATTTCTGGTCTCTGTGTTTGGGTGTATGTAAAAATAGGATGACTGGAAGTTGAAATCACTTTTTCCCTCCAGCCAAGCCCATCTCCACCAGCTCCCATCCTGCCTGGCCCAGAACTGCAAGACACTGTCATCTATAGGAATGAAGTTTACAGTGTTCACCTTAGACTTTTAGGTGTTTTCATTTTCATTAATGTAACTACTGCAGTGATTGGACCCAGAGTTTCATAGAACGTGTTTCTAAAAGGGGCATTTATCAGATCAAAGGGTGTAGCATTGTACTGTCGGTCAGTCTTCAGATGGCTTCTCAGAAAGGCCATATTTCCAGTCATAGTATTTGAAGCATTAACGGAAGATGACTGGTGAAATGTAGGATGTTACTGAACCTGAAGAGGCACCAAAGTCCTCACATACTATGCGTTGAACTGCATCTGGACTCTGTGCTGCTTCCACCCTCTCCTCACAGGTTCCTCTGGCAGAACAGCCCAGGACAGCTGGACTCTGGGTCTGCTGTAGGGAAGCGCAGAGATCGCCAGTGATGAAGGGAAGTCTGTTTCCCCCCGAAAAAGATTCCAAGTACTTGGATGTTTCAATTGTTTCCATGCAAGATGTTGTAAGGACTTAACCCTTCACCATCTCTAAAGTCTACATCAACCAAAGTTTGTGGTTAATAGGACAATTTCAAGAAAGAAAACTCTTTGGAGAGTAAAAGCACAGAATATATTATCACAGAGCAGAGTGGGGTTTCTCCTGACAAGAAGGGAGCAGATATAAATTCCTAAACTCATTTCTGTACTTGGAGTTTAATGGGAAAAGGCTGAAGCCCCCAGTGATGACTGACCGACCATCCTGCAGATGGCAGCGTGCTCCGTAAGCACTCCATCCGTACAGCATTGCTTCCTAAGGTTTTAGTACTGTTCCCAAGTTATCGGTGAAACTTTGAGTATTCACCTTACAGGAGAAATAATAGTATGTTCCTATTTTCTTTGATTGAGATGAAGTTGAGACAAGACTTATACATCTAGTGAACATATATTTCTATGGAGAAATCTGACAGGAAATCTATTGCTTCAAATATTCCTGGACTCAGTGGTTACTGGGAAGAACAGGTGGGAATGTTTGAATTTGCAGCTGGCCCAGGAAACCTGGCATAGAGGCTCCCTGGAGGAGAAGGGCTTGTGGACAAAACCCACCTATAGGATGTGTCCTCTGCCTTCAGCAAGAGCTGTTGAAATTGCTTTATTGGCATTGCAGTGTGATTTCCTGCAGAAACCTGTTTGCGTTTTCAGGCTGCCACTCAGATGCATTTAATGCTTAATATAATCAAAGTGTAAAATGTCTGCACATTGTGTTTAGGCTTCTTTATGGGTTAGTAAGCTTTGACGTAGCCTGGGAACCAGGCCACAGGACTAGCATGCAACAAGGTGTCAGTTACCTGTTGGCTGTTGTTATTGCCCCTGGTTTCTGCAGAAATTAGGTCCCATTTGGTTAACAAGGACGAATGGATGTCTATAGCCTTGGTTCCACCTTCTAGCTCTCTCCATCATTGATTCAGCCCAGACCCTCCAATCCTCAGGCTCCCCAGCACAGTTGGATCCCCCGGGCCTGACTCTGGGATGCGCCATCTGTGCCCTCACCACGAGAGTGCCTGTTTTGCAGCCTTATTTAATAGTTTTACTTACTGCTCTTGTTGAACACTTGTTCCACCACGCCATTTGCTAACGGCCAGGGTTGATGTGCGCAGTTGGGATGGACTGTGGGTGCAGCCTCATCTCTGAAACCCCTCCAGCTCTGCATAGTCAGCTCAGTTTAGCCCAAACTCACCCCTCTTCTCCTATGGCCACTTAGTCTGCATCAGGTGGAGGGAACAGGACAGAAGGAAGGGATGCCAGTGGGTGCCTGTGGTTTCTGGCTTCTGGTCAGTGGAGGGTATCTTCTGTGAAAATCAGTTCATTGAATGGAGCCACTAAGAAAAGGAGGGGACAGCAGGCATGGGTGAAGCAGTGAAAGTTCCCTGTATGTGGAATTTTCCTGTAACATAGTTTTCTTTTTATGCTGGTTTCCAATAATACTGAATTTTCCTCATACCTTTCTGTACATACTCCTGCTTACCTTCCCACCAAAGGTCTGTGACACCTGCACACAGGTGCTGTCCAGCACTCATGTGTCATGCCTAGGGACAGGTGAGCCCTATTCTCTTGGGGGGACTGGCCTTCTTGGAATAATGGCCATTGCAGGTGTCTGAAGGGGCAGTCAGAAGGTGTGGGCAGAGCAAATGGAGTTACCTTTTTAGCGACTTAGAGCGTAGGGCATTCAGCAAAAACTCCCTGAGGAAGCATTTCACCCAAGGCTTAAAGAGGAGGTAGGAGTTGGGTGGAGGGTGTGTATGTATTTGGAGGGGTACGTGGAAGGATAAGGGAAGCCTGTACAAGCCCTGAGTTGAGTGGGAGTGGCACTTGGGAGGTACTGCAGGGCCCAGTGTCTCTGAACGTGAGACGTGGCACCTGCAAACTCTCCGGCCCTCGGCAGGTCAAAGGTCAGGAATGGATCTCTGTGCCACCCAGGACTGAAATGGCTGTGTGTGTGTGTGTATTTAAAGGGGGGGGGGGGGGTGTTCTTTTTATACAAATGGGGGATGGGCAGAGATACTGCTTTCCCCCACATTAAAAACATTTTTTGACTTTGTTTTTACTGAGTTTAAAAATTAATAAAGGTACAAATCGCTCTCTCTTACTTTAGTTCCTGTTTGTTTTCAGGCACCTGGACTCCATTTAATCCTGTGACTGTCAGGTCAATCATATGTAAGTAAGGGCGCTGGCGTCCTGCCTGTTCAGACAGACAGGGGTGGGCTGTTGGTACAGTGCTGCTTCCTGCCTTATTCTCCCTGAACTCCAGTCTGGTGTGGGCCTTCACTCCGCCCCTTTGTTCCCTCAATGACTCTTTACTGTCAATTTATGTTCGATCGTTCCTTCCAGTCCTGGAGATTTCATGAACACACCGGACTACACACCCCACACACAGCTCTTATCCTGTGTAACCACTGACTGGAGCAATCCCCAGATTCTTTACTACATGAAACTTCACTGAATGTGGTGTACTTCTGACCAAGCTGAGAGCATTCAGGCTAGAGGCTTCCATCATCTCCTTGCCTAAAGAGACACCAAATGATTTATCATTATTTTTGTGGCAATAATTCAGACTGGGTTTTTATATCATATATTTTAGCCATTTTGCAAATTCTTTAATAGATTTTTTAAAATCCTCACTTGAGGAGTAAGAATATATTTTTCCCATTGATTTTAGAGAGAGTGGAAGGGAGGTGGGAGAAGAGAGAGAGACAAACACACACACATCAATGTGACAGACACATTGATTGGTTGCCCCCCACATGGGCCCCGACTGGGGAGCAGGGATTGGATCTGCAATCCAGGAATGTGCACTTGACCGGGAATCGAACCTGAGACCCTCTGATGTGCAGGCTGATATTCTAGCCACTGAACTACACCAGCCAGGGCAGCCATTTTGCAATTTTATGTACATATAGTGGTAGTTCTTTTGTATTTGGACCTGGAATTGGGATGTGGTTTTTTGTTTGTTTGTTTGTTTGTTTGTTTAAATGAAAGGCAGGTCTAAGAAAACATTGAAGCCAGTAGAATCTCTTTCTCGTTGAATGGCCTCTGCTGGAGGATGTTGGTCCTGGGAAATGGAGGAGGCCCCCTGTTCTAAGTCCAAAACTAGGAGCTGGGAGTAAGGGGCACTTTTCTCTGGCATCTTCAGAGCACCCACCAGTGGCCGTGCTTCTGTAGAACCTACTTCAGTGTAAAGTATCCTGTTTATTGTGGCTCTAATAGTGTGGTTTGCTTCCATTTTCTTTTTCATGGGGCCTGTGGCTGGGTGACAGTCCCCCTGCCCCACCCCAACAGAGGTGATCTTGCCCCTGATTCAGCCAGTGAGCATGATTGGCAGCACTTAGGGGTTCGCTGGCTGAGTGCCATGCTGGGGAGGTAGCTGCTGTGGCTGTGTTTCTTGGTGATTAACATCGAGATTCCATTCATTGGGACCACTTGTGCTCCTGTTTTTCTCAGCAATGTTTGACCGTGAGAACAAGGCTGGTGTGAACTTCAGCGAGTTCACAGGCGTCTGGAAGTACATCACGGACTGGCAGAATGTCTTCCGCACCTACGACAGGGACAACTCGGGGATGATTGACAAGAACGAGCTCAAGCAAGCCCTTTCAGGTTTTGGTAATTCACTTACCTTGATTGTGTAGCATGTTTCATTTTGGAACTTAGGTACCATTGGAATTCTTTTACTTGGTTCAACTTACAGATTTTTTAACCCAGTCTATGTGAAATTTTTGTTTACATTACACAGACTTATATGTTGATATTATTGGAGTAGACTTTTATGCATCCTTTAAATGCAGTTTTTCATCCAAAATGAGATAGGGGCTATGCAATCGTTTATTTTTTGTGAATTGGACTGACGTCATAAGCACATTGAGAATGTAGCTTTGAAACAATTTAAAGTAAGTGAAAAAATAGTGTAGGGTAGTGTATATTTCATGGAACATTAAAATACCCAGAAAGATGATAAAATACCCATAAGTGATGATTCCTTAAGGCTCTAGTGCATAGTGAGGGCCTCAGGTAGAACATTAGAGGCAGCGAAAGCTCCCATTCTCAAGTGTGTGTCAGGGTGTGCGTGTGCTGTGCTGTGAGGAGTGTGCCCATGGTACCTTTCAGAGTGGTCAGCAGGCCTCTAATACCCATGCATGGGTCTGAGGGGGAGTTGGGATTTTTCTTTTAGAGGGAAAAACTGAAATGGGGTCTCGTTCAAGGTTTGAAGTTACGCTGAGATTCTGATTTGAGGCAATTTTACTTGGCTCGGTGTTCACTGGGCCCATATTACAAAACCCCTTCTATGTTTTTCTTAAAAGGTTTCTTATAAATGCCTTCCAGAAGAAAATAAAAACTTAGATTATAATGTACTATTTTCTAAGTATTTCGAGTTTTAATACATGGTTAACATGGTCCTGCCCTCTCCATTTTCCTCTGGTCATGTACTTTATGACTGTCTTCTCTTTCTATTGCTTTCTTTTCTTGCCTTATGAACTCAGACATAGAACCAGGTGGAGGCTGGATGATGGCACAGGAAGTCTGTTTGGAGCTCACCAGGTGTGATCAGAGTTTGGACAAGACATGGATCTCAAATTCTTACGAGTTGGAACTCAAAATGCAACTAATCTTGCGCTGCCCTTAGGTGGGAGACTGCTGGGGGTCTGGGGAAGGAGCCAGGGGCCTGCCAGGCTGGGGAGAACGTGGGAGGAGTCCAGATCCTAGGAGTGATTTCTGATCCTGTGGCCTCAAGTGTATCACGGAACACAGAACTGCGTTTTCTAACCCGGCGAGGCCCAGAGCCCTCTTTCTACTTAGTGTTGTGACCTCCGGGTCCCTGGAGCTCCTGTGCACAGACTCTCTGCCTCCCAGGCCAGGTCAGACCCAGGGTGTCTGCAGCTGGGGCGGAGCAGCGCAGGCCCAGCAGAGGCCCTCATCAGGGCTGGCAGGCCCTTCCACTGTCGGTGCTGACATCTTCCTGACTTCTGAGTGTTTTTCTGGAGAAAGGAAATATTCTATGGCAGCATTTCTTCAGTTATTCCAAAAAGTTGCTTCCTGTGATTGGTTCTGATATTTTCCTCCTAGGGCTTCTCCAAAGCCTTGTTTTCTGTGAAAGAAACATTGTCATCATTTTCTCACCTTGATTATTTTGGAAGATTTTCTGTTGTAACTTAGGAAATGAGCCACAGAAGTAAAAAATTCCCTTCAGTCTTGACGCCTAAGAATAAGGATCTTGCCTTAGGTCAGAGGGGGATGATTTAGCTCAGCAGAGGCTTAAGGGAGTCAAGGGGTTGAGTACTATGGTGCCCTCTGACCTTTGTCAGCTCCGTGGGGGTGTCTCAGGCCAACCCTGGCAATGCTGTGTGACTGACTAGCACACATTATGGATTTGATGGTCCATTCATTTAACAAATTTTATTAGCAGGTGCTGTTTGCCATGAACAGAGATATGGAAAGGAGAACGTGCACATGGCCTAGCCCTCACTCTCGCCAGCGAAGGGTGGAGTGTACTCAGCACTAAAGGCCTTGGGGCAGCTCCACCGTGCCCACCTCCCCTTTCCTCCGCCCGGCCTGGCAGCCACTGAGCCAGTGCAGTGTTTATTATGAAAACTTTGTGAAAGTGTAATGAACCTTAAACTTATCACTCGTTTCCATCTTTTTGCTGCATTCTCCCCCGCCCCTGCCCCTCCTTTTTATGCTGGAGCAGAAAGGTGCTCAGCCACAGGTAAGGGTGAGGCACTGTGCCAGCACTCCAGGTTTAAAGGGCGGCCAGTCCCCACCAGGGCTCCCGGCTGTGGGGGCAGGGCCATGAGCAGAGGGCACCTCCTTTTAATTATTGTTACTTGGATTTTCACTGGAAGAACCTCGTAGAGAACTGACTGCTCCCAAGTTTTGGCCTCTCAGATAAAAGTTTTTTTCATGACTTGTACATCATTTATTTTTCTACTCTGACTTCCTTCACTTTTGTTTTCCCTGCAGTAATATTGAGGACCAGGGACACTGGAAGTTAATGCCAGGGGTGATACAAGTTGCTTCCCTTGTCGTAGATTGTGGAGTTACTGTGTCATTGTTACAGTCTTATCTGTCCTTTCCCAGGCAGGAGACCATTGGACCCTGAATGGGCACAGCCTAGTCACTGTGTCAGCCCTCACCAGCCTTGGCCTGAATTCCCTGACCAGGCACAGGCGCTGGTGTGAGGCGATGAGAACCATGGGGGCAGGAGGAGTGGCAGCTGTCGCTTTCTGACTGAGTCGGGCATCCTGGCTTCTACTCGGCTTGCAGGGAGGGGGGCCCTGGATGTAAGTCACAGACGTGCAGAGCACACTGACCACTCAGAAAGGTACCATCCATGCTTGCATGTTTGAATCTTTTTCAGTAAAGTGTTAAGTGTTCATATAGGTAATTAACTGTGAAATTCACTCAGACAGTGGGTGTACATTCCTTGCAAAGACTGCAGCAAGACTGAAAATGAGTAAAAATATTTTGGCACCTGGATCTTGTCTCCTGACTAAGTAAGGATACCGTGGTCATGCAGGTAGCGGTATGACGAGGGGAGGAAGGGGAAGGCAGTAGGTGTCCTGGGTTAGTTGGCCCCCAGGGATGTCCCCCGTCTTCAGAGCCACCTTCCTGCTGGAGATCTTTTCAAGACACATCTAGCAAATTGCCAGCGGAATCAGTGACCCTCTGTGGAACACTGGATTGAACTTTGAGAGGCTACCTTACTCCTTGTAATGTTCAGTTTCCTAATCAGTTCATTTCTCTGGGGAATATCTGTCAGTGAGTCTGTTTCCTTAGGTTTACATTTTGTTTAATTGGAAGATGTCAGTGATATTTTATCTTTCAAAACGAGATTCTCTAGTAATGAGTTAACCCAGCGAAGCTAAATTATTCAGAACTTTCATGTCTAGGTTAATAAATGTAATAAAATCTATTGGTAAAGGGCTTTAAAAAAATCCTCACCAGAAGATATGTTTTTATTTATTTTAGAGAGAGGAAGGGGAAGGAGAGAGAAAACATCAAAGTGACAGGGAAACATTGATCAATTGCCTCCCATGAGTGCCTTGGCGGGGGATTAAACCCACAGCCTTTTGGTGTTCGGGATCACGCTCCAACTGGCTGAGCCACCCGGCCAGGGCCGGGTGCTTTTTAAAATGATCTCTGCGCTGCATCCAAGAAACTGGTCCTGGCTGCCCTGTGAGTGTGATGCGAACTAGTGAGTTCACAGGATCCTTCAACTTACAGTGTGGTCCCGCCTCCAGTTACTCCTCCCCCTCCAGGGAGATGCTCTGGCCTGCCAGCAGTGGTCACTGCTGAGGGACTGGTGTAGCTTAGTGCATTGGAATATATGTGTGCTGTGCTCCCTCCCCTGCCCAGACCGTTTATCCTGAGCTGTGATAAGAGGCCTGTGTCTGAGGTGAGTGGGGTTCTGAAGGAAGCGCCCCCTCCTGGCACACTATTTACTCTGATTCCTTTTCAAGGCTACCGGCTCTCTGACCAGTTTCATGACATCCTCATTCGAAAGTTTGACAGACAAGGACGGGGACAGATCGCCTTTGACGACTTCATCCAGGGCTGCATCGTCTTGCAGGTAATTGGGCTCCCTGGAGAGAAAGAGAAGTGCCATTCTGGAATTTGGGATTTCATGGAGTCAGACACATATAAAATCAGTTCCTGGATCTTCTAAAAGTTAGTCTTGTCTTTGGAGAAGCATCTACAGTATTTTTTTCTGTTACACAGAGGTGTAAACAGTAGTGCTCTTTCTCCCCCTGCAAATATTATAAAGCAGTCCGTTCAGAAGAGGTTGTTGTCCCATGTCCAGTGTGTTATTTACTGCTATTTTTGTTACATTTTTATTCTGAGGAAATGGGTAAACGTACTATGTGGCTTTCCCTCTGTCCTGCCTTCCTGTGTGAGGTGAGCTCTAAATCCCCAGGCTGGCTCCCAAGCCCTTGGGTCCTTGTGCGGTGTTGGTGCAACTCTTGAGTTGCTGTCCACTGCCCGTCCCAGTTCCTCACACGTTTCTGAGATGTCCATCCTGCGGCCTCACACTTTCCCTCCAGGAGAACTAAGTGCAGAGCTTAACGAGCCTACCTAGAGACACCCTCTAAGACAGAAGAGCAATCTATCTTGCACTGGCTGTTTCTACCCTGTTTCTAGGTCCCTGCTCCTGTTTCTAGGTAGGGATCCAAGTTCCATATATATTAAGCGTTAGAACTAATAAACTTACATCTTTTAAAATTTTTGTTATGACAAATTTCCAAAAAAAATAACAGTAGCAGAGAACCAGTAAAATGAACCAAATCTCTCAGAGTTAACATTATCACCCATGCCGTTGAATTATAATAACTATAACCCCCACCCAGCATTATTCTGGAGCCAATTCCACTTATGGAAAAGGAAGTTTTTCCATTAATATTTCAGTAGAGCCCATCTCTAGAAGATAAGTCATTGCAACTTGAATCCAAGTTGAGGTTCCATCTTACCAGCTTTAGGATACACTGAAGGTGTGAACAGCGTGAGGTTTTTTATGCAATTTGAAATTTTTGAAAACATTCTCACATTTTTTAATTTTCCCGTCCAAATGATAGGTCAGTCAAAAGTGAGGTTTTTCTGATTTCTTTACCAGTGAATCTGGTGGGTTGGGCTCTCTAGATCCAGGTTTGTTAACTCTGATGCTTCAGATCTCTGGGACCGGGAGAGCCTGACCTCGTTCTGCCTCGGGGTCTGTGAGGCTGGGTGACGTGTTAGCAGTTTGAACACACTCAGAAAGGTGCAGTGTACAATCTCATCAGGGTCTGTATCTGATTTGCTTTAGAATCAGGACTTCCATTTGAGGTTATGGCCCGTAATAAACATCTGATCTTTGTATCTCTGCCTGAGTGAAGGTTAGTGCATAAGGCTCAGCAGCTGAAGTGCCCCGATAATCCCCGAGACACTCCCTGGGAGCTGAGGCCAGGTCAGCCACTGCCTCCAGGCCGGCTTCCAGCTATGCCTGGGGCTTCATTGCCAATGTCTAGTCCCTCCCACCCTTCCTGCATGCTGGGAAGAGGTGAGGTCTCGAAAAGAAAACTGCAGGACTCCGAGTAAAAAGCCTTGAAAATACATTCCTTGTTCTGCCTCTTTTCGAAAAGAAAAAGGCTTTTCGAAAATTGTTTTTGATAACATGAAAATTTGTAGAAATCTTGGCGAAATACAGTTAAAACATAAAGAAAGATTGCCCAGCCCAGCCGGGTGTGGCTCAGCAGTTGAGCATCAACCCAGGAACCAAGGGGTCACAGGTTCAATTCCCGGTCCGCGCACATGCTCGGGTTGTGGGCTGGATCTGCAGTGGGGGGCTGCAGGAGGCAACTCTCATCATTGGATTCTCTCATCATTGATATTTCCATCTTTCTCTCTTCTCTGAAATTAATAAAAAATATTTTTTTTTAAAAAAAATAAAGATTGCCCAGACCTGGCCGGGTAGCCGAGTTGGCCACAGTGTCATCCTGCTATGCCAGGCTTGTGTGTCGATTCTTTGTCCGGGCACATATAAGAATTAACCAGTGAATGCATAAACAAGTGACAGAACAAATTAATGTTTCTTTCTCTCTCTTCCTCTTTCTCTTTTTTCTTCTCCTTCCCTCCCTCCCTCCTTTCCTCTCTATCTAAAATCAATAAATTTAAAAAAATCAAAAGGAGAAAGATTGCCCATTGTTCTTCAAGCCAGAGTTAGGTGCTGCTGGTGGTCTCTGCCGCTGTCTTGCGCACACACATGCTGGGATGCTCGTGGCTGGCACCGAGGGGAGCCCTGAGGAGATTGCATCAGGCGCCGCCCTGGGCAGCTGGCTGGGCACCCAGGCCATAATGAACCTGGGCGTTGTTTTCTTGTCATAATTCTTCAGAATCTGTTGTGGTTGCAGCCCTGTCCTCTGGGGCAGCCCTTACCTGACTGTCCCTGTCTTTGAGTACTGCTTATGAATAAATTAAGGTGGAGCCCTGGGGTGGGGAATTGGCAAATAGGAGGATGGGGGGGTGGGTAGGATGGACCCTGAGCTGGCGAAGGGAGACCTGCTTGCACGATGTGTGCCGGTCCTCACCTGCTGGTGCAGGTTCTTAGGGAGGGGCCCTGGGATCAGGCAAGGATCCCCCACACGTGCCTCCCTGTGCTGGTTTCATCAGTTAGGGCAGTGGTCGGCAAACTGCGGCTCTTTTGCCTCTTGAGTGTTCTACCGCCACTTAAAAATAGACTCGCCCAGGCTGAAAACTGACTTCTGCCCATGGGCCACGAAGTTTCAATCACTCTATATGTGCATGCCCACACGTGGTATTTTGTGGAAGAGTCGCATGAGACTCACGAGCTGCCGTTTGCCCATCACTGAGTTAGGGAATGTGGAAACATGAGTGCTGCTGAATTGGGTTCCTCAATGTCTTTCTGCCAAATTTATTTTGTTCCTTTAATATCAAAATCTAAATGCCTGTGGTTTTCTTCCTCAGAGATTAACAGATATATTCAGACGCTACGATACAGATCAGGACGGCTGGATTCAGGTGTCATATGAACAGTATCTCTCCATGGTCTTCAGCATCGTATAACACTAGCCTTTTACAAACAGCAACATGACTTCTGGAAAAAAAAAGACTGAAAATGCCAAATCTCTTACCGTTAGTGAAACGGAGCACAAATGCAATTGTCTTTATATAGTTAATATTTGGGGACCCAACTGTACATATGTGGATAATCTGATTAACATTTTTGCGGGTGTAACAATAGTCATACTGTTATTCAGATACAGGCATTTGATTTGGGACTGTTTAATTGTGCCATGAGGTAAGATATAATAATGTTTCAGGTATTCTGCATGTCAAACATTTATCATGTGCTTTTCTATGTAGCTCCTATTCTGTAGTGGAAATACTTTTATTAGCCAATAGGAATTTTAAAATAATACAGAACTTGCACAGAAGGCTTTTCATGTGCCTTACTTTTTAAAAGGGGTTTATTGTATTAATTTGAATATGACGGTAAACAATAAAGCAATGTACTCCTTGTCGCAGGCCATCTCTGATGTGCTTGCTCACGCGGGGAGCTTCCAGGGTCTCGGGACACCTTGAGGTATTTTCTGGTGTCTGCACAACTCACTGGTGGAAATGCTTAGATATAATTCATCTCTTATAGGAATGTGTTTAAATTTCATAGAACTTTGAATATAAAAATTCAAATGTAGTTTAGAGGTGTGTTTGTCATTTACTAATGATTCACTCTGCTCTCTTATGGTCTGTTTTCAAACATGAAAGTGAAGTTGAATGCCCATGACTCTTTGCCCTACCACTCATGGAATTGCTTTAGGCTGTTTCTGCCCTTCCCCCTTTTAAAAATACATTTTTATTAATTTTTTTAGAGAAGAAGAGAGAGTGAAACATGGTTGTGAGAAACTTCAATTGACTGCCTCCTACTGGGGATAAAGCCCATAACCTGGGCATGTGCCATGACCGGGAATTGAACTGGTGACTTCTCAGTTCGTAGGACAGTGCTCAACCAACTGAGCCACACTGGCCAGGCACTCCGCCCTTTTAAGTGTGTTTCCCCAAACCGTAATTTGGGGGGCATTGTGTGGATATTTGGGTCCTGGGTGGTTGTCAGAAATTGGGTGGTCCTGTGTGTCCGTGATTAGGCACCTTGTTGGTTGGGGATATGGGGACCTGGGGAGGGTGTGGGTTTCTTATCTGTGGTGTCTGATGGAGGGATGAGGACATCACTGATGGGAATATGTGGGGCAGAGACTGGCCTTGTGAGCTCAGGTGTGGTGCAGATATTAAAGTACAGATATGCTCAGGTGTATGATGCAGATACTTTTAGGTGAGTGAAGATACTATCAGGTATGCTACAGATGTGCTCTGGTATTTGGTACTGATGCTCAGGTGTGTGGCACAGACCTCTTAGTGAGTGCGAAAGGTTTTGGCCAGTGGAGGCACAGTGAAGAGTGGGGGGCATGGGGTGTGGGGAGTTGGTTAATGGAGAGGTTTTGGGCAGCCACTGAGGGCTGAGGTGGAACACGAGCCTGCTCTCGGGAAGGCCAGAGAGGCAAGTGAGCTTTGGGGAGGAGGGAAGGGTCCTGCTGGAGGGCAGGGCTACCTGAAGGGTGGTGAGCAGGCCCTGGCAGAGGGGCCAGAAGGTAAAGGACACCAAAAGCAACCCACAAGCAGTTAAGTCTGCCACATGGGGGCAGTGCAGTCACACCTCAGGGATCCAGCCACCTCCTTCTGACCTGCCATTATGGAATTTACAGCAGCTACTGAGAAGCCAGGGACAGTGGTGAGGAGGCAGCGCCCTAGTAGAAACACTGACTTGCAGCGTTACATTCATCACGTTGCTTTGCTCAAGCTGCACCTGGTCCACTTGGAGTCTGGTGTTGGGATGAGCAGAGGAAGCACTGCTGGCAAATGGCTGGCCTGGCAGTCACGGAGACCACCACTGTACCCAGTCTCCCTGTCCCCTGTTCCCCTTCCTTTTTCCCCATTAACTCCTCCCTCATCCTTCACCCCACCCCCGTCACCCATCCTCCATCCCCGTCCTCTGGTCACTGCCCCTGGTCACGTGCTCTCATGACTTCCTCTCTTGCCATTTGAACATGTGTTGACCCAGCTCCTAATTTGACTTTCAGAGAAATGAACATTCTGCCCAAGACTGTAGTTCTTGCCCAGTTTTTCATGAAGAGCAGTCAGGACACCTGATCTTGGCCACCACCCAGGTCTAATGGGCCTGGAGCCAGTGTGGGATTCACTGCTTCTCTAGTACTGGAGTGCAGTGTGGACTTACGCATGCACATGTGAGTGTGGTGCACGTGTGTATGAGTGTGTGCGAGTGTGTGCATGTGATTATTTAATCAGTGTCTGACCTCAGACTAGAGACTCCAGGAAGCTGGTCCATGTCTGCCTTTAAGAGTGGGAACATACATACCTGGTGGATAAATAGGTAAAGGTGACGAATCTTACGTGTGTGTGTGGGGGTGGGGGGGCAGGGTAAAATATATAAAACAAAATTTATATTTTAACTATTTTTAAATGTTTGTTGGTATTAAGCACATTAACATTGTGCAGCCGTCACCTACATCATCTCCAGAACTTCCATCTTCCCAAAATGAAATACTGTCCCCATGGAACACTTAACTCCCCATCCCTGTGCCCAGTCCAGTACCTGCCATCTACTTTCTGTCTCTGAATTCGATGACTCTAGGGTCCTCATATAAAGGACATCACTGGCTTATTTTGTGACTGTCTTATTTCACTCAGCATAGCATCTTCAAGGTTAATCATTATTGCAGTGTTTGTCAGATTTTCCTTTTTAAAACAATAATCCATTGTATACCTGTACCACATTTTGCTCATCCATTCATTTGTCGGCCATTGTGTGTAATGCTGCTGTGGATGTGGGTGCACAAATATATCTTCAAGTCCCTGCTTTCAATTCTTTTGGTTTTATACCTGGAAGTGGTGGATTATGTGATAATTCTATGTTTAATTTTTTAAAATTTATTTTTATTCATTTAAAATATATTTTTATTGATTTCAAAGAGAAAGGGAGAGGGAGGGAGAGATAGAAACATCAGTGATGAGAGAGAATCATTGATTGACTGCCTCCTGCACACCTCACACTGGGGATTGAGTCTATAGCTCAGGCATGTGCCCTTGACCAGAATTGAATCCGGGACCCTTCAATCCGCAGACCGATGCTCTATCCACTGAACCAAACCAGTTAGGGCCTATTTAAATTTTTGAGGAACCTCCATACTACTTTACACAGTGGCTGCACCATCTTACATTCCTTCCAACAGTGCAGAGGGTTCCAAATTCACATCACTTTTTAAGAAAAGAATGGCCATTCTAATGGATGTGAGGTGGTATCTCATTGTGGTTTGATCATTCCCCAGTGTTCCGTAATGTATGCATCTTTCCATGTACTTTTTGGCTATTTGTATATATTCTTTAAATGTCTATTCAAGCCCTTTATCCATTTTTTAAATGATGGTTTGACTTTTTATTTTTGAATTGTAGTTCTTTATATATTCTGGATATTAATCCATTAGCAGATATATGATTTGCGGTTATTTTCTCCTATTCTATAATAGGTTGCCTTTTCATTCTTGTTTCATTCTTGTCTGTGCACAAAAGTTGTAAATTTTAATGTGTTCTTTCCTTTTGTTGCCTGTGCTTTTGGTGTCATTATATGGGATATCAATGCCAAATCCAATATCATGAAGCTTTTCCCCTACATTCTAACAGTTTTATCTTTTAAGTTTAGGTCTTTGGTTCATTTTGAGTTAATTTTTGCATGTGGTGTGAGGTAAGGGTCTGACTTTGTTTGCCTGTGGAGACCCTATTGACCCACTACCATTTGTTGGAAAGACTATTTTCCCATCGAATCCCTGTGTGTGGGGGATGGAGATGATCTGACTCATGGAACCCTGCGGAAGGGACAGAGCTGCCAGAGGACATGGAAGACAACAGCAGGTTCAAAGAAAACCAAGCAAATGGGTCTTTGTTCAGTAGGGCTGGGGGTGTGCAAGAAAGGAAATTAAATATAGTAAATGTGTCAGGAAATAAAGTACAGTAAGCTGGCTCTCCCTTCCTCCCCCTCTTCCCATCTCTTCCTCCCCACTTTCCTCTCCCCTTTTCCTCCCTTCCTTCTTCTCCCCTATCCCTCCCCCTCCCCATGGACTGGAGCAGTAGCAGGGTACAGGTGAATGGAGGTTCCTGCACTGCCCCCACCATAAACCCAAATATCAGTTGGTGAAGGGCATAAAAGTGGCGCCTTCTTGAAGGAGAGGGAACAGCACCTGCAAACCCTGAGGGGTCTTTGCCCTCTTCACAGTGTGGGTTTCCCACTCCCCACTTCCTTGGAAAGAGAGTGCACCCCAGGAGTGGCTTCCTGGCTAGACACCCATGTTGGGTGAGACCCTGAGGTCTGCTTCGGGTGGGGAACCTGCAAAATATGGTCACCTGGTGGGGGCCCCCGAGACACACCTTTGAGATGCATCAGCCGGCAGAGGTGGGGCTCTGGGGCTTTGGGACACCAGAGGCTGAGCTATTGACACCAGGGCGGGGGCACTGGGAGGTGGAGGTGAGTGGCAGGGTCAGACCAGTCACTTCCTGAGAGTATTTCATCTCTCACCCTCTGTACTCATTAGCTAGTCGACCACAACCACGTCTTCGGTGTTCAGGAACAACTGAATTGCAATTAATTGACTCTGTCCCTGCGCCAGTGGGGGCTCCTGGCTTCCCAAGATGGATATCTACTGGACAGTCCTGCCCCTTTCTCTGCCTCTGTCCTGGGCCTCCTGCGGGTGGAGAGTCTGGGGAGGCCCCTGGAGCCCAGTGGCTGCAGGGCCATGCTTGGAGTGGTCACAGCTCATGAAGCTAGCTGTCACATCACTGAGCTCTCGCTTGGGATGGCCACATCTGGATGCAGACGTTTGGGCAAAAGGGGTTTCTCTTTCCCCAGCACTCATTCCTGCCGCTCTGGACAACCAGACCAGGAAAGAGGCACCCATCCTCACCTGGTGGGAGCAGGATTCCGTCTCTCTGCAGTGCGGGGTCCTGACTGTGGAAGGAAAGGGAATGGGCACCCCCTGGGAGGTTCTGAAAAGGCCTGGATCAGGCCCTGCACTGTGGCGGGCATGTCCAGCTGCACCTGGGCCGGCATGGCGGGAGTAGGGACAGAGTGGTGCCGATGGGGAAGGCATAGGGGATGCCTTGATGTACGCTGCTAACTGTTGTGTGCACCCACAACCTGTGTGAACAAGAAGTTGCCAGAGGGAAGATGTGCCCTCTGAGCTCCTGGGAACACTGCCTCGGATGGAGGGGGGCGGAGGCCACTTTGTCCCGAGGGGATGCCCATGGGCCACTCCTCTGGGAGCCCTGGGACTGCAGGGGAGGCGGCCCACCTGGGGAGTCATCCTGTTTCCATTGCCTGCCTGAGGCTCTGGCCCTGGGTGCCGAGGTGGGTGGCCTGTGCCCATGCAGGGGAAGGTGGGGGAGGGGGACATCCAGGAGAAGGAGGGGGAAGGGGACACGGGCTGTCTTCAGCACCTTGGGCTGTGTGGCTCCATCTGTCTGGCTTCAGCCAGTTCCCCGATGGGATGAGGTGGGTGGGTATGACTGGTGTTTGGACATCAAGACCAGAAGGGGGTCCCCTGAGATGTTGTGGTACTGTCTTCCCATGCAGGGGACGTGTCGGCTCTTACTACAAAGCTCAAATTCCTCAAGGTGCCCACCCAGGTGTCTGCCCTCATCCCTAGATCCAAGGGTCCCCCGACAGGCCTGGGCTTCCCACGCTGACCCAGTCACACTGCTACTCCGAGTGCTTACTTATTTTCTTTAACAAAGAGAAAAAACTACTAAAAAAGCACCACATGCATCTTGCAAAGATTTTTAAAAAGTAAAAGATTCAAGTTCTCCTGTAACCTGAGAATTATCCAACCAACTTTTCTGTGTATAATTGTAATAGGCAGTTAGACAGACATGAGTGGAGCAAGGATGATGGGCCTGGAAGCCCCAGATGTTTGCCTCACAAGAGGCAAAACTGGGAAAACAAGGACCAACCCCCAGAGTAACCTGTTTTCCTCTGCATATCACTGGTCATAGGTTTGGACCCCTGACCTTTCATATCGCTAGTCACACAGTTTAGACACCACCCTCCCACCACCACCACCACCACCACTTTCCTCCTTAAAGATAGCTTCTAGGCTTCAGTTGTATTTCATCTCCAAGCCCAGAAAAGCAGCAAAACCAGACAAGCAACAAACAGTATGGCTGCCTCAGGACCAGCTGCATTAACTAATGACCTCCTGCCCTGGCACCGACCCATCAGTGGAGACCACGACCCTAAACGGACACACCTGGCGAGCTGGTACATATACTATTGAGACTTTCTCCCGAGACCTCCTTAAGATTTCCATCTGCAAGAGGGAGATAAATACCCTCAACTCAAAGGACCCAGCACGCATCCTGAGCTCACCCCCTGCACATGTCTCCACGACCCCCTTTTCTCTGACTCCCCAGTGAGCCACCGCAGCCCAGCCCAGCCTCGGCTCTCCTGCTGCCTCCATGCTCAGCCCTTCCTTGTTTCACCGAGCCCAGCTTTAATAAATGCCTCATTTGAGTGTGTTTTTGCTGCGGCCAATAAATTCTTGCTTGCTTTGCGCACTTTGTTTGTTTGTTAGTTTTGTTAATCCTCACCCAAGGGTATTTTCCCATTATATTTTTTAGAGAGAGTGGAAGGGAGGGAGGGGGAAAGAGAGAGAGAAACATCAATGTCAGAGAGACCTTGCCTCCCGCACATGCCTGGACCTGGGCGGGGAACAAGCCTGCAACCGAGGTACATGCCCTTGACCAGGAACTGAACCCCCTAGATCCCTCGGTCAGCAGCAAGGCCGATGCTCCAATCACTGAGCAAACTGGTCAGGGCTGCATTTCGTTTCTTGACTGAAACTGGGAAAACAGGGTCATCTTTCCTTCAAAAAGACAAGAATCCAGGTCTCGACATCTCACCGGTAACATAATGCACTTGACAAAAACTGGATCAGGACACGACCTACTGATTTTAACTTCCTCAAAAACGCAGCAACATAGCATGTTGTTTCATGTCAAAAATAATATGAAACCGTTTGTTCAGCCAACACTTCAGTCCCTGCTCTGCAGCAGGCGCCTCACCTTGCTCTTTCTTGGATAGAGGTATGCAGAAACAGGTGCACCTGCTGAGTTTACCGGCTAGACACGGAAATAAAAGTACACATCTGCTGTCATCTCAGGAGTGTATGCGCTATGACAAACATCTGGGAGAGGAGATGGATAGTGGTGGCCTTCCATTTGGGGTGGGTGTTCCCTTTGAGGCAACGAGAACAGGAGACTGGCGGGTGAGTACCTGGAGAAGAGCATTTTCCTGAGGGGGTGGCACATGGCGTATTCAGCGCATCAGTGAGGCCAGGGAAAGAATGGGGGACTCTTTGGAGACGAGTATTGTCAGAGCCTGGCTGGGGCGGGCACCTGGAGTGACATCTTTGGCTGTGACTACGGGGCAGGGCTGTCTGCCTGCAGGGATGCGAGGCAGTAGATGAAGCTTGGATGAGAACCACGGGGCAGGTACCTATCCCCCAGGAACCACTGAGGGACTGGACATGGGAGAGAGCAGAGGCCTGGGCAACCCCAAAGACACGCTGAGGACAGGACAGTGGCCTCAGAGTGGGCTGCAGCATCTGGGGCCTCTCGGTCATTAGGCAGAGACCTCAGGAGTGTGAGGCCAGGCTCAGAAGATGTGTGTGTGGGGATGGGGGTTGGCGGGGAGAGGGGTTTGGTGCAGAAAGCTCCAGGTAAGAACACGGGTCTGAGCCTCAAGGTGGGGGTGTGGGTAAAAGCCCAGAGGTCTCCATCAGGACGGAGGAGGGCAGGGGCCTGAGGACCACAGTGTGGAACAGTGGAGGGAGGTCCAGGGAGGGTGCCCGAGGGGTGGCTAGGTACTCCCCTTGAACCCGCGGGGTCCCTGTCCCCAACGCGTGCGGGTTGGCAGGGCAGGGCGTCCATGCTGAGTGCACACACCGGGTGGGACCCCAAATATCCCCGGTTGGGACATCGCACGCACGACGCAGGGGCTCCTGGGAAGTTTAGGGTCCAAAGTATTACATATATTACTGTGTTGTCGTTTGTAAACCTTTTGACTCCCACTGCACCGATGAGGCTGAGAAAGACCCTTGGAGCTGGCGGGGCCGGGCTTGTTGTCCTGTTACCTATTGGGATGGGCCCTCCGCGTCCCCGTGGCCAGGGCAGCCTGAGCCCTGCACCTGGCTCCGCGCACGTGTGCGCTCCAGCGATGCGGGCGCAGGTGGCCGGGAAGCAGGATGAGGACACGGAATACAGCGGGAGAGGGGACCATGGGTAAGGTAACCAGATCGTCCAGGTGTTGGCGAGACAGGCCTGATTTCTAGCAATTTTTCCCGCGTCCCGCGGCGTTTTAGAAAAAAGTCCCGATTTTTCTTCCAAAAATTGCTAGAAATCAGGACTGTCCCGCCAACACCTGAGCGATCTGGTCACCTTAAGCATGGGGGCCTCGAGAGAGAGGACCGTTCCCGGGGAGGCCGCCAGGACAGAGGCGCGCACAGAGCGGGAGGACCCAGCCTGCGAGGGGCTGCGCGCGCGCGCCCCCTGCCGCCCCGGGACCGCGGCTGCTGGGCGGGGCGGGCTCGCGTGCCGGGGTGGGGCCGTCCCTCCACGGCCGCAGAGGCTCCGGGTCCCCGGGATGCGAGAGCCCGCGGCCGCGCTGCCACCGCTCCCGGCCGGGCTTCCCCCGCGGGCGGGCGCGCCGGAGCCTACGCGCAGAGCGGCCCTGGTAAGTGCCCTGCGCGGGCTCCGGGCCCCGCTGCGCGATGGAGGCGCTCCTGGGGAGCCTCCCTGCCACGGGTCCTCTTGCCCCATCCTTCCTTGGACCACCCTCCTCCCACCCCATCCCCAATCTCCAGGATCTGGGCTCCTACGGGCAGCTTCTCACTTAAACATAGAATCGGGACTTTTGAGGAAAGCCTGTCCGCTGTCACTGGTCATGGTCCTCAATTCTCCCCACCAGTAGCCCCAGTCCCCACTCCTCCTCCCCCGTGAAGCTCCTGCTGGTGACCCACCCGCCCCAGGGCAGTTGGCTTAATTGCCCTTCCATTTTAGCCAGTTTCTTTTCAGAAATGGTTTGGGCAGATGTTGGGCTTTGAACCCATGCCCTGAGCCCTCACCAGGGAAGCAGGGGGTAGAAGGCTGGTCTGGGGGACCCCCAGAGCCCGGGTGGCGCAGCTCGGGGCCCCTGGCACAGCTCAGCCCCTGCTTCCTGGCATGGAGCACTGGGCTGGGTTCTCACACTTGGGAAGGGCGGAAGGGCCCAAGTTCCAGGAATTCGCTCCCTTTCAGTTAGTGGCACCAAGAAAGTTCCCCCTCCTATCCTCCCCAAAGTCTTGGTTTGAGTGGCTGAAAGTCCCAGGTTGTGGATACTTTGTGACACAAACCCTTGGGGACCTGCCCACCCTAGTATTGACCTCCCCAGTGACCCCGTTGGGAAGGGCTGGTGCTGTTCAGGGTCATAGGTCAGAGGCCTTGGGCCATCAGCCCTTGTTCCCTCCTGTTTCCTGGTTGGTTCCAAGGGTTGGGGCTGGAGGTACTTGTCCCCTGGAAGCATCCAGCAGGCCTCCAGCCGTTAGTGCCATCGTGGGGGCGGGGGAGATGGCTTCTGTGGGACCAGCCACGGGCTCTGGTTCTAAGTGTGTGCCCTGGGCATCTATCCCCAGGCTCTGGGGACTTGACAGCTGTGAGGTGGACTTCTCTCCTGAGGGCACTCTGCAGGGGGCTACTGGCAGAGGCAGCTCCTAAACCTGGCTAACTTCTGCCCATGCCAGGCCTGGCTTCTGCAGGTTCCTGGGTGGAAGCCTGTTAGGCAGGGTGAGGAGACCATGTGGTGATGTGCAGACCGTCCCACTGGCGGGTAGGCGCGGCCCTGACCAAGGGGGTTCTGCCGTCTCCTGAGGTGGCCGGAAGTCACCCTGTTTTACGGAGCATGATTTTCAGGCGCTAACTGGCGAAGTTTGGACCCAGATTGTGTGTGGTTTCTAGCCAGGCTCGGTCCCAGAGCAATGATGCCCTGTGGAAAGAGGGTCGCAGCACTGCTGGGTGCAGAGGAATTTTGTTTGTTTGTTGCTTACCTTTATTTTTCTTAAAAGGACAGTTAGTCCTTTTGCCTCTTATAAGAAAAGTTTATGCAAAAGTTCAACTTTTTCCGAGACACAATCAGCTCAGAGTTTGGTGGGGGACGAAGGTCCATAGCTGGCTCCTCGGTGCACCTGTTGCTCCCCATCTGCAGCCCCTAGCCCCCTGCTTGCCTCCACCCCTGCTGGAAGGCCCTGGCCCTGGGCAGCCTCAGGCTACAAGGATCCTGACCCCCAGAGATAGAGAAGGAAGCGGATCCTGGGCTAGGGCCTGCGTCCCTCCTCCAAGGGTTCATTTCTGTGGGAAGGTTGGTTCAATCCTAGTAGGCTTCATCTCTTTGAGGAGAGTGCACGAATATTTAGTAAAACGAAGGAACTACTGCATAGTATCCACCTCCTATATTTGTAATTCCTAGGCTAGGAATTTGGCACAGGTCAGACTCCAAGCTGTGTTACTCAACTGGAACTGAGCTGGGGAGATGGTGGAGGCAACTGTCAGTTCCGATAGCCCCAGTAGAGAGGTACCTGGAGATATTTATCTGTTCTTGGTGCATTTTTTAGGGTCTTCTGAGCACTGATCTGGAGATACTGAGGGAGAATGTGGCTTGTGGGGTGGGTGGGGAGGTAGTGTGCAAGACTGGGAGGAGTCACACAGAGGAACCTGGAGCTCTGCTGTGGGGAGGAGGGTTTTGGATTGAGAGTGAGGGGGTCAGTGCTGCCCTTCCCTGAGTGTTTCCTGGTCCCCTCTCCATCCTCCCGGGTGTCCACCACCCTATATCCCTGCTCCGAGGCTCAGGTTCATTTGGGGAATGGTTATGCTGTCCCTTCACCTTGGGCCTGGAGGGGTGGCTGAGTTGGTTATCGAGTACCCAGCTCCTCTTGGGTTCAGGGGAACCTCCCTGGCCGGCTCTTCCCCTGGCTGGCTCAGGATTCTCCTGTTTGAGTGGAAAGGCCTGCAGTTCAGATGGGAGGGTCTTGCATACAGGCCTCCAGCCACCGAGAGCCTGGCCCCAGCACCGGTGAGGCTGAGAAGGCCTGTTCTTCTGAACCATCCATCCACCTGTTTCTGCTCCAGCCTGTGGCCACCTGGATCCTGTTCCCGCTCATCCACCACAGCCCGTGGCTCAAGGCTCCCTGTTCTCTCCTCAGTACCATCTCCATCAGCTTAAAACTTGCTTTTGACCTCCAAGCCCCTGTGGCTCCACCGCTCTCCGCTCCCTTCTGAGCAGCTCCCTGCAGGCGTTTCTGTCTCTGGCAGCGATTTCTCCCCTGCCATACCCTTTCTATCTTACCATTCCAGAAATTTTATTTATATTTGAATATAAATTTGGGTTGTACATTTTTGGAGGTAAAATTCACACACATATAAAATTAACCATTTAAAAATGTATACAATTCAGTGGCATTTATTCAGTATATTGCCAACATCGTGCAATTACCACCACTGTCTAATTCCAAAATATTTTCTTCACCCCAAATGGGAACTCTGTACCCATTAGCACTCACTCCCCAGTCCTCTCTCCAGCCCCTGACAACCATGAATCTATTTCCTATCTTCATGGATTTGCCTGTTCTGGACATGTCATATCAACAGAGTCAATGTGTGTCTGCCTTCTTTCACATAGCGTCTGCCTTCTTTCACATAGCGTCATGTTTTCAAGGTTCACCCATGTTATACAACAGAACTCCATTCTTCTTCTGGCCGAGTCCCATTCCATTCTATGGAGAGCACACCTTGTTTATCCACCCCCCAGGTGATGGGCATTGGGTTGCTTTCCCTTTCCGGCTCCTGTGAATATGAGGCTGTGAGCAATTGTGTGCCAGGTTTTCAGTTCTCTTGGACACCCACCTGGGAGTGGGGTTGCTGGGTCATATGGTGACTCTGTGTTTAGCTTTTTGAGGAAATATCACACTGTGTTGCACAGCAGCCACACCATTTTACATTCCCATTGGCAGTGCACGAAGGTCCCAATTGCTCTACCGCCTCTGTAAGACTTGTTTGAGTATAGCCATCCCAGTGGTATGACATGGTATCTTATAGCGGGTTTGATTTACATTTCCCCAGGAACTGATGGTGTGTAGCATCTTTTCATGTGTTTGTTTACTATTTCTATATTTTCTTTGGGGGAAAAAAAAACATGTATTAAAATGCTTTGCCCACTTTTAAGTTGGATTGTTTGTCTTTTTGTTGTTGAGTGGTAGGAGTTCTTTGTATAGTGTGAATACTAGACCCTCATCAGTTATATGATTGGCAAATGGTTTTCCCCCCATTCTGTGGTCTGTGTTTTCACTTTGTTGATAGTATTCTTTAAAGCACAAGTCTTCATTTTGATGAAGTCCGATTTGTCTATTTTTTTTTCTTTTCTTACTTGTGCTTTTGATAACACTTCTAAGAATCCATTGCCAAATGTAAGGTCATGAAGATATAGCCCTATGTTTTCTTCAAGAGTTTTATCGTTTAACTCTTACACTTTGGTCTTTTAACTATTTTGCTTAATTTTTTTTTATATGCTGTCAGATAGGGGTCCATCTTCATTCTCGGGTCTGTGACTTCCAGTTGTCCTGGCACCATTGTGAAGGAGACTGTCCTTTCCCCGTCCAATGGCCTTCGCACCCTGGGTGAAACTCAATTGACTGCAGTATGCCTATTCATATGGCACATGTCCTCTCTTTTTAGTGCTTTGAAAAGTTATTATGGATCTTTTCACATCTTTTACAAAAGTGGGCACAGTTTTATAATGAGCCCAATTTGCTCTTCAGTCAGCATAGATGGCCAACCACTCATATTAGCTGGCCCAGCTCCATTCAGACACCACTCTGCTCCCCCTTTGTAGAAGCAAACCCCTGACCTATCATTTCTTTCATATGTGTTTTAGCACGTATCTCTGAAATAGGTGCACTTTAAAAAACTAGCTTTTGCTGAAACTGGTTTGGCTCAGTGGATAGAGTGTCGGCCTTCGGACTCAAGTCAAGGGCATGTACTTTGGTTGTGGGAACATCCCCAGTAGGGGGTGTACAGGAGGCAGCTGATGGATGTTTCTAACTCTCTATCCCTCTCCCTTCCTCTCTGTGAAAAATCAATAAAATATATTTCAAAAAAATTAGCTTTTTATATCCTTAATCTTTTTGTGTGTGATTTGAGAGCCTTATAAAGCAATTCTAGCTCCAACACTAGACTAATTGCAAGGTGGAAAGAGAACCCCGAGGGTTCTCCAGCCTGAGCAAGTCGAGGAGCCCACTTGGATGTGAAAGACCCTCCGGAACCCTCGGTTCAGGTCTCCTTGGAGGAGGTGTTGTTCAGCCCCCCGAATGGTGACATTCACTGGGTCCCAGCCTCTGGCCATGGTGAGCAGAAGCAAACAGAAAGATCGGAAGCACTAGAACCCGCAGCCCCTCACTTTTGCACATGGTGCTAACTTCAAAGGTGCAGTCCATCCATGCAGACCAGGCAGGGAGGGTGAGTGTGGAGCCTGGAGGCTACCTTCTACCCCTTGAGGGGCACTGTAGGACCCTTACCCCCCACCATTCCCCCACCCGGCCTTTGTGCTATCCTTGCCACACCCTTGACATTTACATGTGTTATACTACAAACCCATGATACAATGTTATCATTGTTTTTAAACAGTCCATTATCTTCTAAAGATATTTAATAGCAGGAACAAATCCGAGCTTTGTGTTCCATTCTGTGTTCCATGTTACCATCTGGTATCGGTTTCCTTTGGCCTGAAGACACTCTTTCACATTTCTTCTAGTTGGGTCATCTGGGTTCTTTCAGCTTTCACATGTCCGAAGCAATCTTTATTTCACCTTCATTTCTGAAAGGTATTTTCGCAGGATGTTGAATTCTAGGTCTGAATGTTTTTTCTCTCCATGCTTTCAGCCAGTGCCCCACTGTTGTCCCGCACGCATGTTTCTGACGAGGTATCTGCTGTCACTCTCGCTGTTGTTTCTCTGTGCAATGACTGTTGTAAAGATTATTCTATTAATAGCTGATTATTTGATTGTCATGGTGCCCGGTGTCATTTTCTTTATGGATGGGCTCTTCATGAGGGATATTGGTCTGTAGTTTTCTCTTCTAGAAATGTCTTTGCTTTTTTGGTATCAGAGTGATAACTGAATTTATAAATGAGTTGGCAATTTTTTACGTTATTTTTCATTTTCTGCCAGAGGTTGCAGAGAATTGGTATTATTTATTCCTTAAATTGGTAGAATTTACCAGTGAAACCATTGTTTTTGGAATAGACACAGGACTAAACATGCTATCTATTCTTTTCTTGAGTGACTTTTGGTAGCTTGTGATTTTCAAGGAATTCGTCTATTTAATCTAAATTGTTGGATTTGTGGGTATAGGGTGTGTCTTGGTCAACTCGGGCTCCATAACAAAACACTGTAGACTGGGCAGATTACACAATAGAAATCTATTTCTCATGGTTCTGGAGGCTGGAATCCAAAATCCGGGTGCCGTCTGATTTGGTTTCCAGTGAGAGTCTCTTTTTGGCTTGCAGATGGCCACCTTCACATGGTAAAGAGAGTTCTTTTTCTTCTTACCCGGGTAACAAGAAACCTTAGTGACCTCTTGAAAAGCACTGTCTTCAATAGAGTCAAATGGAGGATTAGGGCTTCAACATATGGATTTGGGGTGGGGTGAGGCACAACTAAGTTCATAGCAGTATTCTCTTCTTTTCCTTTTAGTGTGTGTGGGGTCTATAGTGATGTTCCTTCTTTCATTCCTCAGATTAGTAATTTGTGTGTCTCTGTTCCTTGATCATTCTGGCTATAGGTTTACCAAATTTGTTGATTTTTAGAAGGAGCCAGCTTTTGTTTCATTGGTTTTTCTCTATGTTTCTATTTAAATGTCACTGATTTCTCCCCCTCTTTATTATTCTTATCTTTTTGCTTGATTTGGATTTCTTTTATTCTAGTTACTTATAGGGGAAGCTTGGATTACTGATTTGAGACATTGTTTCCTAATATAAATGGTTAATGCTGTCAGTTTACATTACTGCTCAGCTTATAACCTATAAAGTGTTATATGTTGTATTTTCATTTAGTCCAAAAGACTTTCAAATTTCTTTGAGACTCCCTCTTTGACCTATGGTATTAAGACATAGGTTGCTTTCCAAACAGTTTGGAATTTTTTATGTATTTCCTATTTTAATTCCATAATTGTCAGCAAACATACTTTATATCATTTCTATTCTTTGAAATTTGTTTTAATTCCCAGAATTTAATCTATCTTGATTGATAGGATAGTACTCTGCTGCTGTTGGATGGAGTGTTCTGTAAGTTCCAGTAGGTTCATGTCTGTTGTTTGGATGTTCTATAGCCTTTTGGTTTTCTTTACTCACTGTTTTAATTACTGAGAGAGCAGTGTTGATAAATTATCTTTTTATGTATTTTGAAGTATCCATGTTGTTAGGTGAGCACACATTTGGGATTGCTGTGTCTTCTTGGAAAACAGAACCATCTGTCATCATGTGATATCCCTTTTTGTTCCTCAGAATATCCCTTTTAATATATATATATATATATATATATATATATATATATATATATATATATATATATATATAATTTTTTTTTTTTTACAGAGAGAAAGGGAGAGAGGTAGATAGTTAGAAACATCGATGAGAGGGAAACATTGATCAGCTGCCTCCTGAACACCCCCTACTGGGGATGTGCCCGAAACCAAGGTACAGGCCCTTGACCAGAATCAAACCTGGGACCTTAGTTCGCAGGCCGATGCTCTATCTACTGAGCCAAACTGGTTTTGGCAGAATATCCCTTTTTTTAAAGTCTACTTTGTCAGATACTCATGCAGCCACTGCAGCCTCTTTTGATGAATGTTTGCATGCTGTTTTTTTCTGTGGTTGTTTTTTTTTTTTTTTTTATCCATTTACTGTTCCTGCTGATGTCATTATATTTACAGTGCTTTGCGTGTATTTGAAGTGGATACATAACACATACCTGATGTTCTGAGGGCACTTTCTGCACAGGCCTCCTCTTCCAGGTTGCAGGCACTTGAGGCCAGCTGAGGGCTCCTGACCTCCTCTCTATATCTGTGGGCCCAGACTTGGCATCTGAGAGGACACTACACAGGAGTGGTCACATCCCCAGGATGTGAGGCCTCAGACATCCTCACTGTGCAGAAGCCTGAAGTGATTGGCAAGCTGGCCAGCCTCAGGGCACAGACAGTGTGACCGCCCCTCAGGGCCACTGCTTGGATTGGGGGCGCCTGTGTCCAGCAGCGCTGGTGGGGACTGGCGGGTTTGGTCAGCTGGGCTTATGAGTTAGTGGCTAAAGTGGAAGCCCCACACTGTGGCGTAAGGGACAGATTTTACACAGGAAAGAGGAAGCCTATTGGCCCAGAATTTCAGAGTCATTAGTGGGAGTATGGGAAGAGGAAGAAGACCCACCACGGAGGCCACCGAGAGAGGACACGCAGCCTTGGGCCTGCACGGAGCCCGCATGGAGCCCGCCGCTGTGCCCCGGCTGTGAGTCCTGCTCATGGGTCCACGTGGATCGGCCTCTGAGCTCTGAGGTACGTTTGTCCACAGAAAGGCTTTCCGAGGAGGCAGGAGCAGGAGCACAGGGCTGCTCGATGTAGGGGTTCAGCGATGCCAGGCTGGGGAATGGGATGCTGCCCGTTGAAGGGGCGATGTTGCTGGGGCGCACTGAGCGAGAGGAGGCATGGGCAGCGCGGGCTTGTGCTGGAAGCGCCGTCTCACTCGGGTGGCGATGGAGGCATCGGGACCTCCGTACAGCGGGTTCAGGGCAGCAATGACACCTGGATCCCGGCACAGGGGCCTGAGCTGACACTGCTGCCTTCGGTGGTACAGGGAGTCGGGTGGGCCCTGGGGCCTCTTCACCATGACCAACCAGGTGTTCCCTTCTCTTCCAGGCCCAAGATGATCCCACCGGGGGAGTGCATGTACGCGGGGAGGAAGCGGAGGAAGCCCATCCAGAAACAGTAACGTATTACCTTCTTTTTCTGCTGGTTGTCACTGATGAAGGGGAACGTGTGTGCACTTTCGCTGGCAAAGTGAATTCCAGGAGAGGTTTTGGTCACGACACCCTGAGGGATGGGGGGGCCTGCGGAGGCCTGGCAGGGCGTGCCCACTGGCCCGTCAGCAGGAGGCCGCCACTGCCCTCCGGTGGCTGGCCTCTGACGTGGAGCCTCCGGCAGCTGCTCTCTGATGTTGATGAAGGGGCAGTGAGGGCCCCGTGACGTGATGTCACCCCTGTCAGTGGTGACACATAACCCCCTGTGTGCCCTAGTGACCCTCTGCCCTCAGTTAGGACCCACCCAGGGCTCCTTGGAGAGCCTCACCACAGATGGAAGGAGTGGGGAGGCGCTCATCCTCCCTGCCTGGGGCTTCCGGAACCCCCACCACAGGCGGCTCCAGACCCCCTCCCACCACATCCCCCCTGCTCAGTCCCTCCACCTGCCTGTGTGTGAGCCTGGGCCATGGAGATGTGAGGTCTGTGGTAGCTGCGGGAATAACAGGGCTTAGGGGGTGCCCTGCTGGGGGTCAGCAGAGAGTGGCATTTCCCGTGGCCCACAGTCTACCTCTGCTCCTCCAACAGGGGTCCTGCAGGTGTCCACCATCGGCTGGGGCTCTGTGTGAGTGTAATACAGCTGTGTGTGTGTGTGTGTGTGTGCAATACAGCTGTGTTAGTGTGTGTGTAATACAGCTGTGTGCGCATGGGTATAACACGGTTCTGAGTGACTGTGTATGTGCATGGACTGTGTGTGAGGGTGCACACCTTCAGCAGTCTGTGTGGGTCTGTTCTTGGACCTCCCCCTGGCCTTCGGCAGCTGCAGGATTCTGTGTGAGGTTCTCAGTAATGTGGCTCCACAGCCCCAAGGAGAGGCAGCAAAGGCCTGTGAGGCTGGACCTTGACAAGTAGATTTGCCACCTGAGAGTGTCATGTGGCCGCTGTGGAGTGGGCCTTAAAGGGAGTGGGTGCCAGAGCACAGCACAGCCTGGTCTGCAGGGGAAGGCAGCCAGAGGATGGAGAGATGCGCACCTGAGTGAGGGCCTCCAGCCAGCATCCCTGGGGCAGTCGCAGGTTATTAGCTTGCAAGAAGGTAAACCAAGGCCCAGCCCAACATGCACACTCATGCCTGACGTGGGGCTGCTCAGTCAACGATGTGGGCGTCTGTGACACTGGCAGGTCCCCAAACTGCCCCCATTCAAGATGTGCCTCTCCCCAAGCCGGGCACGTGGTGTGTTCAGACTTTGGTATTTGTGTGCTTTAGTCACAAGTGAGATTTAAGAGCCATTGTATTTCCATCTCTGTGAACTGTGTTGGTAACTTTTGCTCATTTTTCTGTGAAGTTGTTCATGTTTTAGTGATTCTTGATCCTTAGGAATTTGTCTATCAGGGAGACTAATTCTCGAGTGTGTTTCAAATGCTTTGCCCCAGTTTTAATTTAGTTATGGTGTCCTTTGCCATGCAGAAAAAAATTTAATTTTTATGAAGTTGAATGCATTCATCTTTTCCTTTGTGGTTAATTTTACATCATCATTAGAAATGTTTCATGTTTACAAGAGACTTTTGCAAATATTTCTCCTCAACTTTTATGGATTCCTTTAAAAAAAAGTTTGAGTGCTGTTCTTAACACTGTTAGTGAATAATCAATCCTTTCCTCACTGATGTAAGTGGCATTTTAGACTCGCATTCAAGCTCATGGGGAGCAGCTGGGTGTGTGCCTGCGTGCCGAGCATCTCCACAGGGACACGTTCCAGGAAACTGGGGGCCAGACGACTTCTGTTTTTGATGTTTGATGCAGGGCGCCCAAGCCCACAGCCCTTCCTTGGGTGTGAGCTACACCCCTGCATTTCAGCGGTGGCCCCGGCCTCCTTGCCAGGCCAGAGGGCTGTGGGGCTTTGGTCCCACAGGTGGGTGATGGGTGATGGGTCTGTGGGTGCCCATCTTTCTCCGGGAAGGGGTGGGTGAGAAAGTCGTGGGGCATGGGATGGACAGAGGAGATAGCATTTGCCTGGACTCACGAGTGTCTGGCTCCTGGGCAGAACCTGCTCCTCAGAGACTTACTTGGGGCTGGATGCAGAGAATGGACCTGGGAGCTGTTAGGTCCCAAGGGCTTCTGAGAGCAACGGGGTGACACTTTGAGCTCCAGGGGGAGTGAGCAGTGGGCCTTCCCTTCTGTTATCTGCATTTTCCATCTTTATTGGGCTATCACTGAAGTAGCTTCGACTGCATGGATTTAGAGTGCACCGTCCAGCCCTAGCTGGTTTGGCTCAGTGGCTAGAGCATCTGCCTGAGGACTGAAGGGTCCTGGGTTCAATTCCCATCAAGGGCACATGCCGGGTTGTGGGTTTGATCCCCAGTAGGGGGTGTGCAGGAGGCAGCTAATCAATGATTCTCATCACTGATATTTCTATCCCTCTTCTTTCCTCTCTGAAATAAATAAAAATATAATAAAATATAAATTTTAAAGTGCACTGTCCGATCGGTTTTAATCTATGTAAACACCCATGGAAATATCACCGAAACTAAGGTCACAGACACGCCTGTCACACTCCCAGAGTCTCCCTGTCATGCCTTCCTGTACCTCGTCCTGGCAGCCTTAAATGTCTCTTTCCAGCAGACTGGTCTGCATCTCTAGGAGGTTTCTATAGAGGTAACCACACGCTCCTTCCCTGGCAAATGGCTTTGAGATTCCTACATGGTTTCTGTATTAGTGTCCTGCCCCAGACGGGAACCCCATGTCCGTCCGCTGATTCACATGGCGGACACCCGGGCCGGGCTCAGTGCGGGGCCTTTGTGACTGAAGCTGCTGTGAACGTTAACCGTGTACGTATCTTGGTGTGGATGTGCTTTTACTTCCCTTGAATAATACCTGGGAGTGGAATTGCTGAGTCATATCGGGGGTGAGTGTTTTGCTTCTTAAGAAACCACCACACTGTTTCCGAAGCAGTTGCACTGTTTACATCTCGGCGGCAGTCCTGGCTGCTCTGCCCTCTGTCCCCAACTGGAACACGGTCCCCTTGGCGTCAGCCATTCTGCCGGGTGCTGTGGTGCTCACCCTGCCTCCTCTCAGGGACTGTGGGTGGGGAGGACCTTATTCGCCAGCCACACACCTTCTCTGGTGAAGTGTCTGCTTACATAATGGGCCTGTTGTACCGGGTTGTCTTTTACTGAGCTGTAGCATTTCTTTACGTGTTCTGGGTACAAGCTCTTGTGAATGTCATTTTTCCTCTCTAGGGTTTCCCTTTGATCTTTGTAAGGGTGACCTTCAGAAGACATTTAAGCATTATTAATGAAGGTCAATTCACCATTTTTAAATTTTATTTTATGACTTTGTGTATGTGTTCTAAATGTCTGGGACCACCCCTAGGCCACTGAGATTTTCTCACGTCTTTTCTTATAAAGTTATACTGCAGGTGGTAGATTCAGGTCTGTGATCCGTTTTGAGTTCATTGTGGGATGTAGTGTGAGGTAAGCGTTGATGTTCACTTGTTTTCATGGGTGTCCAGTTAATCAGCACCATTTATTAAAAGGACTTTTCTTTCCCTATTAAATTGCCTTAGTATCTTTATCAAATGAGTTGCCCAAATATATGTGCGTCTGTTGCTAGACTATTTCGTTCCATTATGTTTCTATCTTGTCTCTAGTATCAAATCATCGGGAGTATCGTAGCTTTAGAGAAGATTTAAAATCAATAGGATAAGTCTTCCAACCTCATTCCTCTTTTTTTAATGGGTTGTTCTAGGTCCTTTTCATTTCTATGCAAATTTAGAAAAAACTTAGCAATTTCTGTAGAAAGACCTGTTGGAATTTTGATTGCATCACATTGAATCTATAGATCAGCTTAGGGGAGCATTGCCACCTTAACAATATAGAGTCTTCTAATCTATGAACATGGTATTTCTTTTCAGTTTCTTGGGTCTTTTAAATCTTTTCTCGGCAATAGTTTATGGTTTCAGTTTAGGTGTCTGGGATGTCTTTTGCTAGATTTATTCTAAGAAGTTTACATTTTTGGTGTCACTGCTTCCTTTGTAACTCTCCTTCCATCTGAGCTGGCCAGGGCTCCTCCTGTAATCTACCACCTGCAGTACAACTTTATAAGAAAAAACGTGAGAAAATCTCAGCGACCTTGGGGTGGTCCCAGATACAAAGTCATAAAAGAAAAAATTTGATGAATTGACCTTCATTAAGCTGGTGGTGCAGGGTCCCTTCTGCTTTCTGCTGAGTCTCTGTCCTCGGGGTTTGGTGCATCCTCCACATGTCCCTTACCCCATCTGTTCTCACCCACTTGGATGTGGGATGGGCAGTTCCCGGCCCTCGGAGCTGGGGTGGCGTGGAGAAAGTGCATCAGGGGAGCCAAGTGTTCTGAAGGAACAGAGTGATGATTGCCAAGCTCTTCAGATACCCATTTCTTCAGCCTGACCCCATGTGCCCATGGAGGTGGGGTGGGGGGTGGGAGAATAGTCATGCTCAGCTCATTCTCAGATACATGCTTTCTGGGGAGACAGGTGGGCAACTGCTCCCCCAGGTCTACACAGAGGTTAGATTTAAGCCTGGGCTTCCTGCCCATTACCTGGCACTTCTCCTTTTCTCTGACCCCACACCTGCCCATGATGCTGCCCTATTTCTGGGGTCACCTCAGGAGTCTTTCAAGTGCCAGTCCACATTGGAGACTGCTTGATCTATCCCCAAGTCTCTTGTGTACTTAGGTTGTGGTTACTGGTGTGAGTAACTTTGGGGCAGGGGCCTAATTAAGACAAGAAAGAAAGAAAGAAAGAAAGAAAGAAAGAAAGAAAGAAAGAAAGAAAGAAAGAAAGAAAGAAAGAAAGAAAGAAAGAAAGAAAGGAAGGAAGGAAGGAAGGAAGGAAGGAAGAAAGGAAGAAAGAAAGGAAGAAAGAAAGAAAGAAAGGGGGGGAATGGAGGGAGGGAGGGAAGAAAGAAGGAAGGAAGGAAGAGAAAGGAAGGGCAGAAAATGAAAAAGATAACCAAAGATATAAGAGAAAATATTTAAAAATTATATATCTATTATACTAAGGGAATTATATGTAGAATATATAAAGACTGCCTACAACTCAACAATAAAAAGACAAATAACCCAATTAAAAACTGACAAAGGAATTGAATAAATATTTCCCAAAGAAGATACACAAGTTGCCAACAAACACATGAACAGATGCTCAACATTACTGCTCAGTATGGGCAAGCAAACTACAGCACACTGAGATACTACTTCACGCCCATGAGAATGTCTGTTAGAATAAAATGGAAAATCACAAGTGTGAGCATGACGTAGAACGGCCGAGACCCTCCTGCTGGGGATGTGAAGTGGTGTGGCCCCATGGGAACAGTTTGGAAGTTTTTCAAAAAGTTAATCACAGAATTACATATCAAGCCAGTTACTCCACTGCTGGGTTTGTGCCCAAAGGAACTGAGCACACATGTGGAAACTGGGACAGGGATGTCCGTGCAGCATGTTCACCATACCCACCAGCGGGTGTGACTCAGATCCCCCCTGGGCTGGCGAGGGGATAAACTAAGCGTGGTAAATCCATGCGGAGGAACATTATTCAGTCTTAAAAAGAACAAAGTTCCGATAAATCCTACTCTTAGATACATGACTCTTAAATACATGATGTTCAGTGAAAGAAGCCAGACACGAAGTCTCACATTGTATGGTTCCATTTATGTGAAATGTCCCAAACAGGCAGATGCATGGAGACGGAGAGCAGATGGCCATAAGTCAGCTAGTTTAATGCATGAGTTATATCTCAACCGGAAAAGTGACTCTGGTTTGGGGCTGCAGGTCCTGCTGTGGGTCTTATGGCCGAGGCCCTCAGACAGCACGGGGGACAGCTTTGTAGACAGAGCAAAAAGGACGGACTGTTTAAGGCCCACTTTCCATGTGCCTACAAGTGAACACACTTAGGAAAATAGGAACTTCTGGTCAAGAGACTCCATCCTCTAGAGGCAGCGAGAGCCCGTGGGGGGGGAGGGCGGGGGTAAGGGGTAAGGAAGTCAGGGGGTCAACCCTGGAGCCTGCACCCCTCCCAGCAGCCTTAGCTGCCATTTAGGGGCAGAAGGCTTCCTGTGGCGAGATTTAGGAAGAACAAGGGGGAGAAGCTGTTCTGTGAGATGGGAAATGGGGTCAGAAGAAGGGCACTGTCATCCTGGGGACCAGACGGGCAGATGAGGCAGGTCACTGTGAAGCAGGTGGGGGACTGGGGTGAGGGAGGGTGGACAAGGGACACCCCCTGAGGGGCCAGCTGGTCTATTCCGGGACAAGGGGAGAAAGCAGCCAGGGCCCTGCCTGCCTGCACGGAGGCACAGGCTTTGACTTCAGCTTGACTTCAGACCTTGGAGGGGTGGGTGGGACAGCACACGGTGCCCACGGTCCTTCGTTATCCTCCCCTCACTCCCTTCCAGCCCCGCCATGTAGAGGAGAAACTGAGGCCCAGAGAGGGCTGCAGGGCCAGAAATCCAGGTCTGAAGAAGGCCATGTGTTCAGACCCAGGGTTGACGGAGAGAGGCTGAGCAGATACAGCCTAGTGCTGGCCACCTTTCTCCCATTTCTGGGAACGCTAGCACAGAGAGGTCAAGAACCATGCTGGGCTCACACAGCCTGCCCCGAGCCACGTGCTCAGGCTACCTGCTCTTCGTCTCTCTGTTCCTTCCCTCCCCATCATGAGATAGAGTCACGGAGGTGCAGTTTCAGATTCTAAGCACGAACCTTTTCAGGAATGGGTGAGTGCTAGTTGGTTTCAGCACTTTTTTCCCCCTGGTGGCAGCTCCATTTTGAAGCAGGGACGGGTTTCCACCCGTGTGGCCCCATGGACTTGGGTGGAGTCACCCCCATCTGACTGGCTGTTTCCCCACAGGAAACCTTCTGTGGGGGCTGAGAAGTCGAACCCTTCCAAGCGGCACCGAGACCGCCTCAATGCTGAGCTGGACCACCTGGCCAGCCTGCTGCCCTTCCCGCCCGACGTGGTCTCCAAGCTGGACAAGCTCTCGGTGCTGCGTCTCAGCGTCAGCTACCTCAGGGTGAAGAGCTTCTTCCAAGGTAGGACTCTCACCGGTGCCCAGCGGTGCCCGGCTGGGTCTCAACTGGGTCTCACCTGGGTTCCCCCTCTTTGCTGGATGGACAGTTTGCGCCTCATGTCCTGTGTGACCATTTGGAGAAGGACTCGCTGACGGCCGAACCAGATGGCTCTGGTGGAAGGGGCAGAGCCGGTTCCCCGCTCTTGGCACCCCTCCCTGCCAGGCCTTGGGGCTTCCTCACAACCCCAGGGCTCCCGGGACCCGGCTGATCTGCTTCATGTCCTGCCGCTGACTGGAGTGAGCTGGGTGGCTGGCCTCCTGTGGGTGCTTGGCTGTCCTGGGTGCCTGAGGTGCTCCCCACACCGGTGCTCCAGGTTCTGCTCATTCCCCAAAGGGCCTGGCTCAGCTCCTGAGAAAGAAATGTGCTTGTCACCTACCTTAAAACCCGCGGCTGCCACTGCCAGTGAACCAAGGGTGAACTTGGTACAAAATCATGAACTTACGGTGTTTCTTCAGGAGCAGGAAAGGTCAATGTCTCAGCGGGCACGTGTGGACAACAGGGAGGGGTGGGGACTGCAGCAAACGGTAGAGGTCCTGCTCTGCCTGCCCCCACTTTTGTGTTTCTTTGTGCCGCTCAACAAATGCCTTGGGCCGCAGTGAGGGTGGGTAGGAGGTGAGGGCTGAGGCCTGGGCCTGTGTGAACCAGGTCTTCCTACTCTGCACAGTTGTGGGAGCAGTTTGTACTGAAGTGTGTCTGGGGTGAGACCCAGCCCCTGCCCACTGCTAGCTTTCTCTGCTCTTTCTGGAGATGGGCGGGGAGGGAGACGGGGGCAGTTTTCCTGAGGTCTCAGCTCTGCCCGCCATGCACTCCAGCTGGACAGCATCACCGATCCCTCCTCCACAGGCCCGTTGGCCTTCATTTCCCCTCTCGGAGCAGGAGCCCCAAGTCCTCTGGCCCCTGCTGGTCTCTGAGGGCCCCACTCTGCGTGTGAGACCACTGCACAGGGGGTCTCGGCTCCTCCCACCCATCTCTGTTCCCACTCTGCTCTGGGACATGGACCCCTTGGTGGTGGTGTGGGGCTGATGCTGAGCTACGCTGAGATGTCCTGTCATGGAAGGGCAGCCATGCACACAGGCTGTGTGGCATGGGATGTGCTGAGCTGGGCATGGTCCCGTGTGCTGGTGGCTCAGGTATGGGCCATTGCCCGGGGCTCCTCTGAGGCGTCCCTGCATTCCCGTGCCTCCCCCAGGCCACTGCCTGAGCCCACCCCACACTCATGCCCGGGGACCCCTTTGACAGGCACGTGGGCTGAGATATCGCAGCCTGGCCCCCTCTTCTCTGTGAGCACCCCGAGGTCCCTGGAGAAGCAGCTACAGTGGGTTCCCGTCTCCAACCTTCATAGCTGCCGGGGTCCTGGGTTCTCTCCCAGGTGCTGGGCCCACATGCAGGATTGTCTGAGTTGAGTCTGATTCTCCTTTGCGGTGTCCACAGCGTCAGGCTCATGTCCTGTCTGACCCCGGAAGTGCCTTTGTTTCCTTACATTTCGGGTTACTGGTTGCCCTGAAACCTCGGGTCTCCCATGAGCCCACAGAAACTTGCAGACTTGAACATTTCTCTCGGTGCTTTGTTGTGAGGAGGTGGGGTGATGGGCTTGAGGTGTCTGGATTCCAAACAGAAGCTGAAAGTGATGTCCATTCAAGTGGTCTCGAATCACACTCCTTTCAAAGGTAAAAATCAGCAGTCGCCTGCCAGTGGGGCCTTCAAGGGAACTTAAGAGAGTATGGCTCCAGTCCTGTGTGGACTCGGCACTGGCCGCCAGGTCTGGGGGCTCGGAGGGGACCCGGTGTGGCAGCTTTCTGACTTGGAGTCAGGGCCCTATCCCTTCAGGGAGGAGGGTCTGTCCTGGGCATGTGTGACCACTGCCACGGGGGCCCTTGTAAAGGGTGTTGGCTGTGGGGAAGCCGGAGAGGGCACCCGAATGGCCACTCAGCATGGTCCCTTGACCCTGCAATAGCCCTGGCTGGCCCCAGGGCGCTGGAGTTGAACACCGAATATGTTAGCAGCAGGCATCTCTGAATGGGAACGTTCCAGGGGTTTTGTTTCACTTTCCAGGGACTTAAATTTCCTACTGAAATGTACCAATTTTATGAACAGGAAAAACTCAGATGTGTGAAATGGCCGAGAAAACGTTCGCAGCGCTGCTGCCGTCTGAGTGTGGGGCTCCTGGCTCCTTATCCTGGACCCCGCTGAGCTGGAGCTGCTGGGCAGATAGTCCAGTAGTTGTTAAAATCCAGTTAGTCCAGTGACTGTTAAAATCGTCACATCGTTCCTCATGTCTGAGTGTGATAACCACACATTGCACAGTAATTTATACAGTCGAGTCTGAGCAGACTGCGGGGCTGGGGAGCACTGCCAGGCAGCGCAGGAAGCCTGCTGTGGGAACAGGGATGGAAAGAAGGAGTTGCATCTCATCGGAAAAGCTGCCTGACTCTGAGAACCGGGTCAGTAGAAGTTACTGTGCCCTGACTGCTGGGCCACAGGGCTGTGTTCCCAGAGCTGAGAGTCCCTGGAGGGAGCACCCGGGAAGCCTTGCAGACACAGAGCACATGCTGCAGGCACTCGCCATCCCTCAGAACCCTCTGCCTGGCCTGATGCTGTGGGGGGCACATGCCCATGTCCTGGTGCCCGAGTCTCCCCTCACCAAGGCCCTGTCCCCTCACCAGGCCCCACCCACGCCTGGTGCTGAGGTCAGTGTGCTGCGGTGACCAGGAGCCTTATCAGGTTGTGCAGGACGACTGTGCTTTTCCAGGAGAGCTGTGATGTGATGAAGAAGTGGAGGAAGAATGAGAGCGCACTATCGCACGGGGCACCTGACCCGCCTCTGGGAAGCACCTGTTTTATGGCTGCAGCAACTGGGCTGTTTGGGCAGCTCAGGTGTTTGGGGGCTGCCCAATGGGGCAGTCAGTTCACTCTCCTCCCCTGGCACACCCACGAAGACCAGACCATGGGAGGGACGGATCACTTCCTGTCTGGACCAGTCCAGCTGTGCCCAGCCTGGCCAGGGTTGGTAGTCTTGAAAAGACTGCTGTTCCCAGGAGGTCAGACGACTGCCTAGGTGTCCACCTGATGCCTAGTTTTTAACCAGAAGCTGTGTGACAGTCCTATCTCCCAGCCGACCCCACAGCCCTTAGGGGTGCAGGCCCCCCGCCTGAGCCTGGGGGGCAGCTCCCTGTACCCCTGCAGGCCGGCCTGGCTCCAAAGCGCACAGAGATGCCTGGGAGCGTGACACTGTCACCACCGAGTGAGATAACCAACCTGATCCCGCCAGCGCACCTTTTCTAGCAAGGATTCCCAAGGTGTACATTTTAGAGACAATTCTAAACTCTTTCCAGATTTCATTTCCACTGAGGAGCTAGAAAAAAAGTCAAGCTATAAAAATTGGATCTTAATCTGTGCTTTCTGACTCAGAAATGGCTGAATTAATTTCATTACAGCTTCTATAAAAAGTCACCTTTGGGAAGGACATGAACTGGAAAGTCTCATCTTCAAAGGGTAACAATGACCTGAAAATTTCCAGTAATGTTTAGTGTTGACTTTGATGAATTTTTAAAAGGCAGCGGGATTACTTTACTTTATTTTACTGTTTATTTTTTTGCACAGAGCAAAGGGCTGGTGCTTCCGAGTTATAAACCCTCCGCCTGTACCCAAGAGCAGAGTTTTCCACTCGTAAATCTCACCATTCACCCGAGGGACCATGTGGGGGAAGGTGGGTAGAGGAGAAGCCTGAGGACCCCCTCGGTGGGGCTGGAGTGTAGTGGGGTTCCTTCCAGGACAAGTGGCCTCTGAATGTGTGGGTCCAAGAAGCCCCTCCCCAGGAGATCCAAGATGGCTGTGCCCAGGTAAACACCTAGCCACAGCCGCACACAACAATTTCAATAAAATACAACTAAAATATAAAATGGACATTATCCAGAACTACAGGAAAGTCGACTGACTGGAAATTCTACAACAAGAAGCAAGGAGAAAACCAGAAGGAAGCACAGAGGAGCTGGAAAAGCCTAAGGTACGGAGACACGTGGCGCGCGGAGAGGACGAGCCAGAGAGGAGGGAGGCCGAGTGCCTGGCTGGCGTTCCCTAGCGGGAAGGAGATAAAACTCCGACTGTGTTGGGCCCCAGTTCTCACTGCTCTGAACCCCAGTCCTAGGCCAGACCCTGGGGACCCAGGCTCATCCAGAGGGAGCTGGGCTGTAAGGCGGAACCCCGGGGAAGCGGCGAAAGGCAGTCCCAGCAGCGCGCACATTGCACGCAGAGAAGGGACGGTCGGCTGTGCTGCGGGATTGCCTGGCAGGAAGGAGACAGGGGCTCCAGACTGCTCTGAACGCCAACTCCACTTCCAACTGAACTGAACCCCAATACCGGGCTCATTGGGGGAGAGCATAGACTGTTTGGCAGCAGGCGAAAATCGAGGGCACCTTTCTCTCAGAGGCGCTTTGCAGCGAGTACTGGAGGACCCGCATAGGGCGGGGCTGACGGAAGCCAAGGCTGTAGGCTCCACCCTGAAATCTCGTCCCATCTGTAACTGCAAAATGTGACAACGAAATAGATCACAAACAAAAGAAATGGAGGACAAAAAGTGGCTGGATATAGAGTTCAAATCTACGCTTATAAGGTTTTTCAAGAATTTCCTAGAAAAGATGGATAAGACCTATGAAGATATGAAAAGAGATCAACTAGAATTAATAAGGAGTCAACAAGAAATGATAAGGGATCAACAAGAAATAAAGAATACATTGTCTGAAATAAAAAATATTATACAGAGTCCTAAAAACAGAATGGAAGATCGCAAGAATCTAGTCAAAGATTTGAAACATAAAGAGCTAGAAGACACTCCTCCACAGAAGCTAGAAGGCAAGAGAATCCAGAAAATTGAAGATAATGTAAGAAACCTCTGGGACAACTTCAAGCGAACCAACATCAGAATCATGGGGGTCCCAGAAGAGGAGAGAGAGCAAGATATCGAA